TTCTCCAACTCCTCCCGATTGATGGTTGGCTTTTCTGGCCTCACTTCCTGGGCCAAGGGTCATGGACCCATGGTGGTACCCCTTTGTCGCTGGATGGTTTAGGGAAAATCCCAAACAAAAATGGATGATGAACAGGGGTGCCCCCCATGACTTCGGAAGCCTCCTAATATGGGCAATAGGAATATCACTTGTAGATGAAAAAAAAACATGGGCATCACTTGTAGTTTTGAATCTTCCAAAATCCACAGGATCCAAGATACCGAGTCCGACCGAGACCTATTAAATTGGCAGGTCAACACAGCCCGCCTCCACATCTGTCCTGGCGGAAAATTGGCAGTTGGGAACTCCAAATTACATCAGAATCTGGGTTGGTACAAAAAATATAGGATACCCATGAATAGCCCATTTTCAGTTCAAGGGGTAAAATTATGATCAAGCATGATTTTGGGGGTAGCCTACTTTCAGACACAGCTGTTTTTGGACCGTCCCGATTTTTCTTCACTGCGGCTGCGGTATCGGCCAATCAGTCAACAGAACCACTTGGGGCGATCAATTCTCCCAATTCCACATACATACCTTACATATCATACATTCAGTTACATTCACATAAAAAAAAAAAACACCAAGTGGACTCCTCAAACAAACATGATCAATTGAAAATGCCGCAGCTGCTATGGTGGCTGCAAACTTGAGCAATGGTTGCTGCCACCCACACACAACCAATTAATAGGTCTATCTTAGTCTTAGTTCGCTGTATGAGTATGACAGTATGACCCATCATGTTTGGGAATCTGTCGGAATCTGTAGGATACTAGGTTGCAAAGTCTCTTTCATGTCACTCTCATAGCTTTCATTGGCAGAAAGCATTCCTACGTTGCCTATCAACTGACAATCCTTCTGACTAAGTATGAATCCCAACAACTCAAGATCACTGCTAACTCTATCTGCATATAGTTAACAGTAGAATCATGGTCATCCATGGCCCTCCAACGCCTGAAGCTGATCGGAGCACCATCCACAGTCAAGACTGGAATGCAAGAGCCTGAGCGCATGAAAGTTCCAATCTGAAGCTCTGAAGCTGATGAAAAATGCCGCATTGGCAAATTTTCGCGAAATCCGAACAGCACCCACAATTTTACGTTTCACTGGTGAAAAACAAACTACTGGATTTGAGAGAGATGGTTCCCATCAGAAAACTGTCGATCGCAAAAGTTCTGGGTCGTTCCCTGCTGTGGCGAAACAAGGTCTCCCAGGGTCACTGCTAAAGTTGGTTGTTTATCCACATGAACGTCGGGAGAATGAGATGCAAAGATTGCAAAGGCTTTCCACACGCACACTGGGCCCAGGATGCCAAACGCACATGGCTTGTGATCAGCTCACCCAAGACCTTGATGCAGGGATGCAACGGGGATGCTGCAATCTCAAACAAAAAACCATGGCTTCAATCGAAAGTTTGAAATGTACATCAGAAACCCGATTCGACCTGATGTATGTGGTTTCATCCCTTACATCCATTTACATCCAGCATCGTTTCTGGACTGTTTTATATGAATATGAACGGGGGGCTGGGATTCATGGGACCGGGAGTGGTGCCGAAGCCGACACTTCGCAGTCCCGGAGGTGTGAACTGAATCAGGGAAGAATCATACCCTGGAATGGTGAAAGAAAGCAGCCAGATGTTGATTTTTTGTTGATATATCACCAATATGGGGCTGGGTCAATACCTATAAGTACCATTTTTAGGGGGATGAACATCCATAAATCCCAGCTATTTTGGGGTTCACCAGGGGTACAAGGTTTTGACACACTGCCATATCACCAAGGAACTGGAATCCAGCTGGGGATGGGTGGTTCCAAAGTCACCTGCGACGTCACGATTCGTCACGACTCGTCACGGCACCCCGTGCAACCCTGTGGTTTGTAGGTTTAACTGTTGACCCTGGGATCCCTGGGATTTGGTTTTTTTCGAATGGGAAAACCGGTTAATGGTTTATCATGTTCAGTCATGTTCCCTATCGAGAGGGACATTTTGGGTGGGTATGCCTGATTTTCAGACACACCCAAATAGTCAAATAGTCATTTACATTGAGCATCCATCTCGCTATAATTACTTCACCCCTAAGTTTTGGGCCACAGGTTCCAGGGATGAAACTTGGACCGACCGCTGGACCCCTGGACCCTTCCCAGAGGTAGCAGTGCAATGGGGCTGTTTTGCAACATTCTTAAGCCATTCTGCCTGCAAAAGAAACAAACAGCGGACTACAGGTCCACACATATACCCTCTGGTTATTTAACATAGCCATGGAAAATCACCATTTTTAATAGGTAAACCATCTATAAATAGGCCATCTATACCATGGCTATGTTAAATAACCACAGGGTACATCAGTTCATAAGTCCTCAGAAACTGATGCTCAACTCGCTAGGATGAATCTCACGAATTGTGTGGACTGTTGCAGCCTTGGGATCCTTTAGCTTACCCAAACGTGCAAATAAAATCACAACAATAGTTCAATAGCTGCGGATGAGTACAATATCTTCGGCCTTTTCCATTGTCAGAGTTTGTCCCTGAAATCTCTAGTCTTTTACAGGTTCTGCGCAGCAGCTGGTGGTAAACCTCTGGTTTCAACAGGCTCCAATCTGAGCATATGCATCCACATGTTGCACACATTCTCTAGTCGATCATATTCTATCTACCCACTCTAATTCTATAGTTCGGTTGGGTTCATCTGTCCTATCTGCTGGTATCGCGGTGAATTCTATGTGGCCTTGAGACAACATGGGACACGTCCATTTGCGCAAAAGGGTCAATTGTTCAGTGGCGTTTGCCCAGGGAAATGTTGGGAAAACAAAACATCATTCCGCTTTATCCTTGGATTCGAAGATGATAAACAATGGTGCGGCCGTTGCGTCAAGCCGCAGGTGCTTCACTTCCCCCACCTTGATCTCTCTGGCAGTGGGGTCGATCCATTGTTCTGCCATCGGCTCAGATATTCGGGTCGGTGCTCCGTTTTTGGAAGTTTTTTTTGGAGCGAATTCAGAATCGGGGCTGCTGCACTTACTAAAATCAAATATGATTCACATACCTGAGCTCTCCAACGCGTAAAAGGCTGTGAAGGAAATGCCCATGACATGTCAGCAATTGTAGGATGACACTTCATCTCTTCGTTGTTTTGAAAACAGTGGCAGCAATCTACCACAGATAAAGATTATTTCCCGGCCACGGTGTCGGAACAGAGCGTCCCACCGACATCTTCGTTGAAGACCATCTTTGTATCTGGATCAGCGTCTTCTCGTTCCTCTTTGGGAACCAACCTCGCAAGGATAGGTGAACTGGAGGTATCTGTTCACATCGTTATGACGGCTGTTAGACGGCGAAAAAAGCTTTAGCAGTTCTGAATAGAATACATCAATCAATTTGATAATAAATTTCTTCACATCTTACAAGTTTTGGCCAACAAAATCGCTCAAAATGAGGGCACTTGTCATTGGAGCTCAGGGAATCTCATGGATAGCTCTCCCACGAAGCAAGCAATTTCCATCAATGTATCCAACAAGGAAAGGTAAATCAAACAGGATCAAAATCCAGTACCAATGTATCTGAACCCTGAGAATCCGGCAAATTCAAAAGTCCTTTCAAAATCTCAGAGAGATCTGATATGATCTGATAACTCAAGTAGCATCTAGACTTTGGGACAGGGCCAGGGATCAGCAGCTCAGCACCCAGGAAGAGCTGGTGGAGCTTTTTCCCGCGGCGCGAGGAAGAGCTGGGACTGTGCAGTGCTGTGCAAGCCGTTTCACCATGGATCCAATGGTGGGCAGCTACCGTCCGCAGATGGAGAATGACAGGGAAATAACTTGAGTGAGATTTCCAGCCAACCAGTGATCTTGGGGATCTTGCCACACACGATAGAGTTGGATCTTGCTAGATGTCATCATGGCGGACTGTGAACTTACAAACTTTCACATGATCTCAACATATCTCAATGCATCACCGTTCTGATCTTAGCATGAATAGGCCATGAATGCCCCACAGGGGCCAAGTTTCTGCATTCCAGATCTTCTTCGGCTTTTCTTGGCCATGCACTGAGATGCTGTGCCGCTGGTGTTCTGCATGTCATCTAGACAAACTGTTGACCGCAGACACCACAATGATGTATACCTTCAAATCAGCTGGCCATGCCCTCACCACGCCCTCACCCGATAACGAAGTGTTGATTCGTAGGCAGGTCGAGCAAAATTGCTTCGATTTCAAGGAAACTGTAATGTCAACCCTGGATTAATAAACCCTTAGGCAGTTTAACTGGGGCAGTACCATTTAAGTATCAGATAATGACTATTGGGGAAGTACCCCCCCGGGGTCACAAACCCACCATGTATATAGATCTACATAGCCCTTACTTCCGTGTCAATAGCGCGCTTTGATTTTTTTGGAGTTACTTCACTTCAGATGATGTTCTACTTTCAGGAATTTCCTTGAAGCCGAGCAAGACCTTGTAAAAGTTGATAAAGTTGATTGGCCGCCTCAAAGCTGGTTGGTTTTGCTCAAACCCCAGCAGTCTAGGAGTTTTCTGATTTCAAATGGCAGTGCTGCAGTGCTGTTGCGAGCACAAGCAAATTAGCAAAGAAACATTCCCATCTCAGCAGCCACAGTTGGGGAATCCCAAATAGTTTTCTAGATAACACACATGACAAAAACATGCCGTCTATTTTTTTTTCAAAGCCTACAGTATAACTCAGTATATCCTTTGCTTCGATGCGATTTCATCAAGCTCAGAGGGAAACGTTTCCTTAGAATGCACTGTCTGTGTGTGCCACAGGCTGCCAGAGTTCCCATGGGTCCAAAATTCATTGGACTTCGCATCCATGTTCGTAGGGACCCTACAAAAACACAAGGCATCTGAGACGAAACTGACCAAACCTCTCGGGGGAACCCATCAGCTGTCAGGACACGGCAGCCCACAGGGCTTTTCTCGGTGCTCGTTACGAGCTAAAGACTTTCAAGAAGTCAAAGTCTTGGCAGTTTGGCGCAAGGCCTTAAGCTCGTTTGACATGAGCTTTGGAAATTTGCCTCGTCGAAGTGTTGAACAGACCAAACTCACAAGACGTCCTAAGCTCATGCGCTCCACCACGTATCGAATCTTATGTGGAATCCTTTGCACCCTGATGCCCGTGGTGTCACGGATGGTCATCTCACTCTCAAGGAGCTGAAGAATCCTCTCAGCTCCAGGAAATTCAGTATTCTCGACACGTTTGCGAAAATAGGGTAGAACCATCTCCATGAAGGAAAGCTCAGGTAGATCCTTCAGAAACTCACGGCTGTGCTTGTCCAGCGTGGGCATGTGCTCTTCCTGGTGGACAAAGATATTTGGCCATGCAGCGTCATCCAACGTCATCCAACATCATCCAACGCTCCCAAACCCTATTCCAATCTCTTCCGTCCTATTCCAACCACTGCTAGGGCCCTTTACATACAGCAAATGTTCGCCAAGCTGCATGAGCAACGTGGCAGAAACCGCAATGTCCTGCATGCTTGCAATGCCCATGCAGGAAGAGAATGCATGGTCTGCAGCAAATGTCGGGATGGCCATAGCTTCCCGCTGAGAACATGTGACTGCGATGGGAAATCAAGGCATTCGACGAGGTGTTCGAAGTCTTTGAAGAAAGCCTTTGAGATCTCTTTTCCAGCTTCGACACCTGAGCCGCAGGACCATGACTTACCAATCATATCATGACTGTAAAGGGACCTAAAGAAAGGAGCATCTTGATGATCTTGATGGGCTTGTCAGGTTAACATAAACGAATCGCTCAAATGATTGGTCCTTTGTGTCAGGTAGCGGTGTTAAAAACGTTGGTTTTGGACCATATTTCCAGCACGTAAATTTGAGCCTCGCCCGCCTGCAATGTCAATTGCTTCTTGTCGCGCAGAATTTCAAGGACATTTTCGTCTTGTTTCCGCCTCTTCCTTTGCTGCTTCGTCAAGAAACCAAGTCACACACTCTTACCTCCAGTACCTTAAAATACAAAAGGTTTAGGTCGTCGAAAAAGCAAAAACTGTGCAAAAGCTATGCGAAACCAGAGAGGCAACACTGGTGGTGAGCTTTTGGATCGTACCTCAACCTGTGACTCCGCAAGTTGGTCAATGAAGGTCATACGATAGTGGAGACCGGCCATGACGACGTCACGATGCACGCGTCGCGGGTCTCTGGGCCAAACTTCCGACATGGAAAGTGTAGACAACCAACAGCATGCCTACCCATGATACTGAACTATAGTGATGAGGCAATTTTCAGGATAAACTCTATCTGGGATTGTCTCAAAATTTTGGAAGCCAAGATCCCATGGTTCATCAGTCGGTTTCCTTGCTAAGGATTTAAAGGCCAGTTGGGGTGTCACGAAAGTTCACTTCGAAAAGCCACATCTTTTTTGGATCCAGACTTCGTAGTGACGTCGTAGACCAGGAAGTAGGTGAGGACAACAAAGATAACAGGATACAAAACAACACCAGCCTCGGCTTTGTCGCATGTGGCACCAGAACCGTTCGGATAAGCTAAGGATGTTTTTTTTCTCATACGCTTCGTCACCAAATCTACTGTACAAGATGTACACTAAACGATGATAGAAAAATCATATCAAGCTGCAAAACCCACAAAAAAGGATGCCTGCTGTCCACACAGAACAAAGAAATACCCGGCTTTTAGATTGCAGTGTTCAACCGGAGCACAACTTCGCATAGGTTTATACCTGCGATGGCTGAGCCCCTCGACAAAAACAAAGGCTTGAACTTCCCACCTGATGATAGAGCAGAATATGAAGTGCTGTGATTAGACGTTGCTTGCCAATCTTGCCATCAAACATGACACCTGCTTCATCAGACATAAAGGGTAAAAATGATGGAACATGTGCCCAATCCGAGTGCGATGGAGGTACTCAAAGAGATACATTGTTATCCAAATTATACGTGGTGAGGCTTCATCAAAAACGCATGAGATCGCAATTGACCGTTGCGATCGCAATTCCAGGCGGCTCAATTTGGAATCAAAGTCAAAGTTGGCTTTGGATGACATGTGATTGAATTTGTTCAAACTATCTGAAACGCATCCCTTCTCTCAATGGCCAGCATTCTCTGAACAGCGCGCCGTTCTGGCTTCCAGAAAAAGAACGTGACCAATGTTGGCCTTGGCTCCACGCTTCTCAAATTTGGGGTGAACTTTTGTGTGTCATCAATTTGGTCCTTTTGAGAAAAATCGAAGGGCCGGTGGGGCATACCATAAAAATCATCATTTACCTGTTGGCCAGCCCTCTACGAATCAACCAACCAATGGAAAAAGGACATCTATGGAATCTATGTTCCAGCGTTCGACAGCTCTTTGCATCACGATCACTGTCTGAACCTCTGTATCTCATGCGCCCAAGATACCACATCTCCCGAATCCCCCACGACTTCAATACGAAGTCCAAAAAACGATGGAAATATATGGAAATTACGGTCCTCAGCAGGGTTGATGATCCCAAAATGTGAACGTTGACACTTGCGCTGTCCCAAAAAAAACCTATCACTACACCCGCAGTAAAGCCACGATATCCATCCGATACATCCGACATTCTCCCTGAAGTTCTCCGACAAGAAACTGTGAGATGATTTTGGCAGCACTCTTGGTAAAGCCAATGAGGCCCTGGGCCGCTGCCAGTGGTGAGTTCGTAATGCAAAAAAAACTTGGGCCGAAGCAACCGTATTTGTTTAAAAAAAGTTACTGATGTTGCTAAAGGATGCTAAAGGTTGTATGGTTATCAAAAGAGGTTTGGTTCGAAAACTTCCGAGTTACGGATGTCTTATGTCCATGGTCAGTCTTGTCAGTTCAACCACAGTTACGGGGGAAACCGTAGATCAGCAGTCCCGGCGTGTCTTTAAAAAATGACAACATAAGGGATGGTCTTTTCCCCGGCCTTGATATGGAGCTGTCGACAAGTGAACCAGACAGCAATAGCTCGATTTCCAGTTGAAAATGTTCAAAAACTGACGGCCGCAAACCACTCTCGGAAGACAAGGTCGGAAAAACGTGCATGAGACTGTAGCAAGACTTGGTTTCCCTAAAAAATGTATTGGCATGGGTGCACGCAGGAAAGCATTGATGCTGCGACGCTCCTGCTTTGCGGGCTTGCAGCCGGAGGTTGCTGAAGGCATTGTAACAGCTGCGAGAAGGGCACATTGTGAGCATGGTACCTTCTTGCCTTGTGCGGGTTTGCAGCTGGCGGGTGGAACGCGCAGTGTAATGCATGCGCGATCTGAATGGATCTGAGAGAAATAGCTGCGAGAGGGCAGTTCAGAGCAGGAGCTGGCCAGAGAAGAAGTAGTTGAGATAAGAGGCAGCTATGAGAAGAAGTGGCTGAGAGAAGAGGTACCTAAGAGAAGGGGTAGCTCAGCGATGAGGTGGCTCAAGAGTAGCTCAGTGAAGTGAAGAGGTAGCTTACAAAAGACTTGGTTTTGGGCGGTAGCTCAAGGAAGAAGTAGCTCGTGCATTCATTCGTTCGTTCATTCCTTGATTCATTGATCCACTGATTCATGGATTGACTCACTCACTCGTTGATTCACTATGTTTCGTTGCTAAGAATCACTCATTCAAAGACTCACTCGTTCGTGAATTGCCTCATTCATTGATTCACCCACTCATTAACCCATTAATTCACCGGCTCACTCATTCATGGATTCATTGATAGGTTCATTCATTCATTCATTCGTTCGTTCGTTCGTTCGTTCCTTCATTCATTCGTTCATTCGTTCCGTCATTCATTAATTCTCTCATTCACTCATTCACGAAGTCATTGCTTCATTCATTGATTCATTCAATAATTGTTTCACTCAATCATTGAATATCATTGATGCATTCACTCAGCCATTCATTCTTTCAAAGTCATTGATTTCATGTCCTTTTCCTCAGCACAGCCCTTTCATTGTTTCTGCATCTCACAGACTGAGACATTTCTATGGGCCCTTGGCTGGCCACGATCTGTGCGATCCTTTGAGCTGCAAAATGAAGCGTTTCCACACGTTACCAAACGACCTCCGCTTGGTCCCGGGAAACGGGAGCCTACGGCCTGTTTTCACCGGCGAACATGGAAACCATTGGGGAAACCATTAGGGAAACCATTGGAAAGCCATCATATTTGATCCCAGCACCCATTGCTTTCCAGAAATGACTGCGATACTTTAGGATCAACGTGCGGAAAACTGAAGCAATCTCCTCCCATGGCCGATGCCGATGCCGATAGATGCATGCCAAGCCCGGCCAACTCCCATACTCTCGGCGCTGGCAGGGCACACAATCCAACACGAAGATGGACAGAAACCCAGGCTCCAGCCATTTCACCCTGGCAGGTGGCCCGTGAAGAACTGTGCACCATTTTCAGACTGCAGTTGCCGTGGGGCTGAATGGATTCCTATAGGATGCCAAAAGGCCTATAGAAGATCAAATGAATCAAATGTTTGACGTGGCCATTCAACACACACAGGAAAAACACCACAAACCTTCCTGCACCAATTGCAATGCAAAAAGAAGGGGATTCCCAGCTGGATTTTTTCTGACCATTGCAACAGATTTTGGCAGGTAGAGCATGCCAAGTTCAACATGCCGAAATTGGATTCTGGTTTCAGAAATCATGAAAGGTGATCATGCGGCCAAGGTCTAGCTAAGCCAAGTCATTAGGTGTGCGCTTTGCAATTTGGAGAGGACATGACCGGACCTTCTCTGACTCTTCATCATCACCATGCGATAGTACCTGTGCTGATCAGGACGACCATCTCTCCCGAGATCCAAGTGATTTCGGGGTGATGTCCACCGTGTAGTTTCAGTACGAAAAACCGTACTAAACAGCATCCTGGCTGGAGTCTTGAAACATGTAAATCTCAGCGCTGTTTGACGTCAACGAGGAACAACGCTCAAAATCACCGGAACTTTCACATGATCCCTGGTTATAAATGAAATTTATACATTCAATTAATGGGGTTTTGTTACTGAAACTGTGTTTTTCCAGTGACTTTCAAAGAGGTTTCACCTTGTGATGTATGAGAACCCAGCGCACATGATGTATGAGAAACCAGCACTGAAAATCACCAGGAACATCAGCAAAAAGGTCCCTGTGTAGGTGTGCATCATTCGCCTCCGAGGCCGAAATGGCGTGCAGTTTTCGCGTGCGCCGCTTCCGTGCTCTCCACATGGACATCTGTGTAGAATCTAACTTTCATGCTGTAGAAACTGTTTCATACTGCAGATTCTGATGATTCTGGAAGTTTTGAGCAGTTTTCCAATCGAAAACCGATTCGTTGTGGATCTTGTTTTTCGCTGCTGCGGCCTGATGAGCTCCAGTTCGTGCATGAAAACCAGGAAAGGAATCACCTCGGTGAGGATTGGTGGCATGAAAATCAGTGGAGCGAGTTTTTCTCTGGAGCGATTGGGAAGAATGTGGTAAACCCAAAACTCTATATATATATATCATGTAACCCACCTAGGGCATACGAATGAATATATGCATATGTATGTATATATGTACAGTTTGTATGTATACATGTTTTGTGTCTTATAGACATATTGCATATTCATATGACATGCAATTATATGCATATCTACAAGTGATTACATGATCTCTCTCTGGGGTTCCTTCTGCAGTGATTAAAAATGATGCTGTAAATTTGGGGGTGCAGTTGAGGTTACAAATGGGTGTAACTATGGTTATACCATCTGGTCATTTAACATTTCTTAATAGGTAAACCATCTATTTCTATGGGTCATTTCCCATGGCAAAGTGTTAAATAACCAGAACGTATACATTGGGATAAGCCCCATGATTCTGGCTATCCACAGAAATAACTAGAGCTGCACCTCCAGACAAAGGTTAACGCAGCGCTTTTAGGATTTATCCAACCCAACAATCTGGTGAAACATCTCACAACAGTATGCCTGCAATGGTGACACGCTGAAAATTACATGTATTCCATGACATCTGAATAGAACATGAATGGAATAGATATGGTGTTGTCGGAAAATTTAGGGAAAACCCCTCATTCCATCCTCTGGTGAAATTAAAAACCCGAAATGTTCGTCGCTTTGGCTTCTTTAAGAACGAATTCCCTGTGGATGATAATCCCCATGAAAACTGGGGAACCAGGCATCGCTCATGGGATGCGAGTTGCATGGAATCTTGTTTCGAGCCTCTGGGTAGTCATCCTGACGAGCGATGCCCCTGCCAGTCTATATCTATAGATAAAGCTCTTCCTTTCACATCCAGTGTAACTGTATGTGTATATATATATATACCAGAATATATAATATGAAATATACTAACTATATCATAGAATATAAAATATATATAATATCATATATATAATGTATGATATATATATATATATCATATATATCATATATATATCATATATATCATATATAAATATATAATATATAATATATAATATATAATATATAATATATAATATAATATATATATATATAATATAATATAATATAATATAATATAATATAATATATATATATATACAAAATATTATATATTTAATATGTATAAATATATATACCTGAAACTTCCGGCATGGTATTATTTTAGACCCTGGCCTTAGGGCCTGAAATTTTAGACCCCAGATTCAGTTTCAGACCCTAATGAAAATTTTAGACCCTAGCATTTTTGGAGGGTTTGTGATTCTGATGGTTTTGCCAATATGATGACAATATTAATATGCATGAAAAGAATGGCTATATTGTTCATACCTTCAGGATTCATAGGAATTACATATGATATTGGTTGATCTAACCCCTTTCCTCACTGCAGCCGCATGACCTTGCCTGCAGTTGCTCGTCGTAGTCGGCACATGAAGATGGATGATCACCAAAACAAATGGTCATTATCAAGATAATTTTTAAGGGGATATAAGTGGATCTACCCATTGTAAAAAGAACATGCGAAATATTAATACCACTGGGGAATGTTTGTTTTTCTTTCACACTCTTTCATCCCTTACCCCACAAGCTCTGCAATGGAATGGCTTCCTGGAGTGGAAAATGGTTCCTTGGCTTTTTTTCTGCCAGGGCCGCGGTTGGGATGGCGTGGACAGTGCTAGGTGCAGCAACTAGGGTATCCCATTCATAGGTAAAAACACAACTTCAGGATACTTTAGGGGCCTTGCTGCCCATTCCACTTAAGGAGATGAGCCATTGCGTTTCCATGGGACTGCACCTAGAAATTGAAGCTACTACAGACGCCTGTTTTTCTTCAAACGCTGCAGCTGGAATCTGGCTTTGATCTTGTACGCCAGTAGAGTGTTCTCTTCAATTTTGATATATGAGATCCTACGGCTTTGACGAGAAACTCTTCCAATGAAATCTTCGCTCATCGAGCAACAAAATGTTGCTGGGTTCAAAAAGAAATCCTTGTTTGGATCCGGCTCCAGGGACACCTTGATATGGTCAAGGGAATGGATTTTGGGAACCATTGCATACAGTTGGGACCCCCTTTGATACGCTTCAGAAGCAAGCTTCGCATACGCTGTGATGAATCTTTGCGCGTTCCTCATGAGTTTCTCTCTGCAAGAGTTCTTCAACCAGATCCCATGCCTGTAGACACCCTGAAAAGCCAGGCCATTCTCACAACCCCCAGCTATGATCCCGAGCATCGAAGAAGAAGAAGAAGGGTCCGAACATAGCTGGATCTTGCAGTAAAAACGCAACCACTTCAACAGAAGAATTGTATCGGAGCCTTTGCATCCCACCCAGGGAAAAGATCCCGCTGTAGGAATGTGCAACTTCTGTTTGGAGAAGCTACGGATACCAGCTGGGGAAACCTTTTCTGTGTCACACCATAGGGAGAAATGAGACCATGCCCTGGCCAATCTCTCTTCCAGGCCGCGTCCATCTCCAGAAGAGTCAAAGTAACCCTCCATACATAGGTATACCAAAGCTGAACCAATGTAGTTTCGGGCTATACCAAGTCTAAAGACGTGAAAAATGTCTTGCTTGAAGAATTGGCTCGCTGAACCTGAAGACCAATCCTCAAATGGAATAGCCTCAAAGGGAGGACTTGAAGTCCACGGAGGAGCTTGACAAATAGTTGCCCTCCAAGCAGCCTGAAGGGAAAAATCTTCAAAGGGCAGGCCATCGCCTCCTGCTCCGCAAAGGCTACAGCATGGGATACAATTCTTGTATCCAACGTTTTGGTAGCTACGGTTCAGTAGCCCTGATTTGGCGTGCCATTCTTGATCCCCTTTCATACCCAAGACTGCAAAATGAAATCGAAATACTCTGCCCCGATGCGTGCAAGGCAAGCCAGTTCGACATACTTGACCAAGATTGTCAGAAACAGCTTGGAGCAATGAACGCAGCACCCCGGGAGTCTTCTTGTATTTCTTGGCTGGCAGTGCAAAAGCCAAAAAATGCGTAGTGTAGGAAGAATTCTTCAGATTTAGTCTTTGCGCCAGTGGGATTCTCTTGCGCTTTCCAGAATATACATTCCCATTTGCACATGTACATTTCAATTCCTTCTGTTCAGTGTCAAGGCCTAAGACTGGACATAGGCTAACAACTTCTAACGGCTGTTTTTTGGTGGTGCGCCCACCATCTCCGTGTAGAAGTAATGGCACAGTAAACTCTAAATCCAATTCTTTCCTCTCAGCCATTGCGAAAACAGCGTGGGAACCATGTTCCTTTCTGTACTGCCTCCAGAAACTTGACACAAGCTGGTTGTGCTCGCCAGGCTGCAACCCACCCAGTACAGTCCAGGGGTGAGTGGACAGTAGATAGGCCAGCATTTGGTCAGGTTTCAAGTAAGGCACGCTGACAACAGCCCCATTCTCTTCAAAGGTGTGGTAGGAGTTCGGGACTTTCCTGACATCACCCCCAAAAAAACAGGTAAAACCGTTGTTTGATTCGGGAAACCTCAGCATCAGCAAACAAGTTCATTTGGGAAACACAAATACATATTAGAACATATATATATATAAATACATATCCTATGTAGATTAAACGAAGTCTGAGGCTCATAGCAAACCCACCTCTTTGGACCAAACGCTTGTACTGCCTTGAAGAATTCTTGGTGTCACCTCCAATGCCCCTGGTTGACAAGTGACCTGCCAGCTCCGGACAGCTCTTCAGCTCCTGTGCTAAGGCTTGATGATGTTCTGCTAAAGACTTTGCAGGTGCCTTGGAGACGAATGAGCTTGGCTGTGGATGGCTTGGGAGGTGGAAGCCCAAATGCACCACCAATATCACGATATAGGTTTAGAGGAATATCACATATATGGGTTTGGAAGGTGTCAAGTTAAAACGAGTGGCCCCATCAGCAATTTTCTCCACCAAATGCTCCAACAAGGGTCCTGAAGACGAACCTGCACCTGGCATCATGGTGGTTGGCTTTCATGTCGGTTCATGTCGGGCATAGCTCCAAATCACAAGTTTTGTGCAAAGAACCAAGATGCATGCAAACTAGTTGAACAACCTTTTTGTGTTCCTGGGATCTCACCGCACTTGTGCAAAGGCCATTCCCCATGTGGCCAAAGATGTGACATGGATTGATTGGATGTTCTCACCCAAATACTTGCGAAGGCAGTTCCCTCACAAGGCAGCCCCTAAACTAAAGTTTCTCCTGAATGCCTCCGCCCAGGGACCTTGTATTATGAACATATAAATTTCCTAAACCACATGAAGGTTTTATGATCATGTGTTTCCCTGGGCTCCACAGACTGAACTGCAGTAGGTCCTTCATCTGGCCCTCCTATTCCCAGACTTGGGCTCTTGCTTGACCGCCTTTGGCGGTGGGGTATTGGACTGTTCCTTGCTATCAGCTTCACGCTGTCGCTTTCTCACCAGCCCCTTGATGTGGTTGACAAACGGCCTGAGCAAGTGGCTAGCGCTGGCTCATCATGATTATATCCCCATTTGTTAAGATCAGACCCTGGTGCTAATTGAAAGTATTTGTTTTGACCCTGCTGCCCAAAGCATCACGTTGTTTGAGGCAAAGACTGCGCCCGGGTCGACAAGTTCAAAGCATTTGCACACCTCAGGCCGGAACAAGGGATGGGATGAGCAAGGATGGGTGGAAAGACGGCCAGAAAATCAGAAAATTTTCATGGGTGAGGTCTGAGAAGTAACCATGGACAACAATTCTTTTCCCGCCACTTCAGCACACAGCTGTTACCGTGTGAAAAAAAGCGACATGCTTTGGGGATTTTTCAGCCAACTCTCTTAAGTTGGTCTGCTCTTCCCCCTGTGATATATACATAATATGGGGGCCCTTCGTGGTTGGGTCTGTTCAAAGCACCCTCACCACCACTGTTAGCAGCATTCCTGCATCCAGTGCAGTGGTGCCACTCTGCCACCAAAGCAGCTTCTAACATGTGCACTAGGCCCAAGTCATCGTGCTTACAAATTACCCACATTAAAGTGAAATTCATAGCAAGGTATCCCTGAAACCTTTCTTGCGGGTTAGCGGTCACCCCAATTTTGAAGACACAAAGTGCTGCACCAACGTGGTTCCTGAAGAGAGCAACCTGTTGCCTCGAGTGTGCCAAGATCTTGCCACACGTTGTCCTAGGTCCTTGAACATGGAGGGACTTGTCCTGGATGTAGTCGGCGATGGGTTTTGCCCCTTTCCTCATGCTAGATTCCTCGATGGTGTTTTTTTTTCCCAATGCCTGACTGGAAGTACTGTTTAGAAAACCCAATCAGAACCCTTACCTGTCCGCAGGTGGTTTTAGCGACGAAGCGGCATCAAAAAAGAAGCTGGGAGCAAGGACAGATCAGGGATGGCAAAACCAACAAATGAATAGGCTGGGGTTGCAAAGCTAAGACAATTTTTAGAAACGAAAAACCAAGATACTTCACATTGTTCTCGCATGCCACCATTGCTACCCATGGTTGCCGCACTTACTGCACATCTTTGTTGGCCAGTGATTGGGCAGGTGTAGGTCAATAGGTCCAAGAAGTCATCCAAGTCATCTGACATGGGGCTTTCAATAGTGACAGGGATCCGGGGAAAACTGTGTGGTGACCCCACTGGATTTTACATCTTGAGCCTTGTTTGTCACGCATAGCAAACCCATCGGCAACCCAATTCTATGCAAATCATTGCAGGGCTATTGAAACTGCAAAGTATTAGGCCCACACCCCGTAATTTTGACTAGGCACCATTGGCGGCTGGTCTTGAAATGCTCCACCAAATCATCCTGGTGCCTGAGCGCAGCATAGGTCCAGGGTTAATATGTTTGGTCATTTGCATTTTCTTTGAAACCAAAAGCACCACAGCTAAATTAGTTTGAGCTACCCTTTGGTGAATCCATCAACGATTCCCTGCATATTGATGGTCATGATTTTTTCCTCCACCTCCTTCAATTTTTCGTCGAACTCCAATGCCTTGTCAAAGAGCCTTGGCTCCAGCAGAGTTCCAATACATCAACCCCGTACCCCATGAAGTCATTTGAAATCTGGATTGGTTCTTTTTCCCATTAAAACTATTGATTATATAATTCTATAGTTGCTTGAAGCAAAGGGCTGGCCCATAGACTCGGGGACTTCTTCAAGTTCATCCTTGACTGCGACCATCGCGTGCATCTTGACCCGCCATTTGCCAATGGCACCCTGAACCTTTTGAATGTATGAGCTTGGGACAGCATCATCATCCATAACCGGGAAAGCCAGCATCTTCAAACTTTTCTTGGTATCTTCATCTCCATCAGCTTCAATGACAATTGTAGGGTCTGGCCAGGCAAAGTGGTCCCCAGAGTTGAATGTTATTTCCACACTATCAATCATAAACTGTTTCCATGCAAACAGGTTGGAATAGATCTGCCAAAGAGAGATCACATGCATGTAGAATGCCACGACTTTACATTCATCCACAAGATCACTCCAGCGTAAAAGACCCCCCAGTCTCCAGTACCTGTTGTGTCCTCAGGCAGTTCAAACCCCCCTGGCATTGGGTTATCCAAGCTCGATGCCATCATGCCGTCAAACTTCTCCTCGTCTATCTCCTCTTCATATTCAAGAACTTCACGTCGCTTCTTCCTAATCTTGGGATGGCTTTTGAAGGGTTTGTTCTGAAAAGGAAGAAGTATAGAGGCAATCATACTACTTCATTTCTTCATGTTTCTTTACCAATTACCAATTCAATAGTTCAAACGTATCTTGGACTGAGTGGCAGGGATTTTCCCTTCAGGTTCTTCTCCACCCAGTAGAGCTTCACATGTTTCTCATACCTGTCCCGCCTTGGTCAGGACCCAACAAGATTGTGAAGGAGATGGTGGGAAGGAAATTCTTTTCCGCGATCTCCTTCAAAATCCTTTTGTGGCCCCGGAAGAAAGAGGCGCAGCAGGGTTGAAATGGGGGCCATGTTCCAAGTCACCGGATCCAACCGCTGACCTTCGCGCAGTCAGCTTTGATTGCAGCAATCTTGTTCCTCATTGGCTGGTAGAATGGGTATGCATGCAGTGAGTGGAGTGGTTTAGAAAATCATCCACAAGGAGGAAATACACACTAGCTAGTTTGTTTCGTTAAAAGCATTGGCCCTGGAATGTATAATTATGTATAATTCATTCATGTGCAATCCGGGGCACGGCTTGTAGTTCTCATCCAGCATATCCTGCTCCGACATAAACTCACCATCCACTTCCAATTGGGACTCTTTGATGGATTCCACCTTGCGGCGGCACCTCTTGATGAACTCCTCCTGCAGGAATGGGACAAGCCGGTCGAAGGTGCAAGAAACGAACGGTGAGGACTGTGGGAGAACCAGGGTTGGAAAAAACAGCGTTTGGCAATTACATGGCCTTGTTCGTTTCCGATGCGTTCCACATTTGGATCACAAGGTTGCGCCCCCCACCAGCGGTGTCCGCCCACTTGTCCACAATCTCTTGGGGAACAATGTATGTTCCATCGGCCCGTGGCTGCATCACCCGCCTGAGCCTCTTCATCTCATTGCTTTCACCAGTTGCCTTAGGTGAGCCACAATTCCCTTAACCTATCAATGGATCGATTTGTTTTATACACATATAGTACTGTATCTGTAACATCGTACTAGATTGTATCCATGTAGCACTAGTATCTATATCTATATCGCATCTATTGTATATCTCTCTGTGGTACTAGATTCTCTACCTACCTACCTATCTATCTATCTATCTATCTATCTATTTACCTATCTACTTATCTATCTATCTATCTATCTATCTACCTATCTACTTATCTATCTATCTATCTATCTACCTATCTATTTATTTACTTATCTATCGATCTATCTATCTATCTTTCTATCTATCTATCTCTCTCTCTATCTATCTATCTATCTATCTATCTATCTATCTATCTATCCATTCATTCACCCATCCACCCACCCATCCATCTATATCTATACCTATGTCTACATCTATATTTGTACATCTGTCTATATATATATATATCTATATCTACTCGTGTATCTCTGTCTATCTATATCTATCTATATCTGTCTATATCCGTCTTTATATATAGATCTTCATCTATGTATACATATACATCTAAATATAAATCTATCTATCTCTATCTCTACCTATCTATCTATCTCCCTGTCTGTGCGTCTGTCTATCTACCTATCATATCTATCATATCTTTCATATCTTTCATATCTATCTATACATATCTATCTTTACCTATCTGTCCATCTATCCATCTGCCTATCTATTTTCCTATCTACCTATATCTATACCCACCCATCCACCTATCTATCTATAACTTTATCTTTGTATCTACCTATCTACCTATCTACCTGTCTATCTATCTATCTATCCATCCACCCATCTATCTTTGTTTGGGTGCGAACAGTCCCCTGAATTGTAAGGGTACTTGTTTCATGCCAAACTATCTATCTATCTATCTATATCTATCTATCTATCTGTCTATTTATCTATCTATATCTATCTGTCTACCTACATACATACCTATCCAGCTATATCCAACTATACATATACATATGCACATATGTATATATATATACACATATCTATCTATTCTTATCTATATATATATATATACAAATACATCGCCCTCTTTTGTATATGCATAGTATTGTATTTAAAGACACATACCCACTAGATTCATCGCTATGCACATATATATATATATGTATATACGGGTATGTCTCAAAATGAGGTGCCCTTTTTGGTCCCCAAGTTGTTACTTTAAAGAAGGGAAAAGGGTACCTCATTTTCAGCGTGGAACTTGACTGAGTTACTTTGGGTGTATCCCCAGCAGCAGGGGCAACCTTCTCCACCTTCTTTACCTCCTCGGTGTTCTGCACGATGCCGGTGTTCTCGTTTGAGACATCCTTTGGTCGCTGCATTATGGAAACCAAGTGAAAGATTTGAGATGATTTGAACTAAGGGTCCATGTTTTTTGTTGGTCACAATTTCTCAAATTAAAAGCTGAAGGGCAACTCTTGATGGGCAACTCTTGATGGATATATTTATGCAACATGCATGCATAGATATAGATATAAACGACCACGATATAGATATAACATACATGCACAGATATAGATATAGAAATACAAATATTCATAGTCAGATCCTCAAGGACCACCCTGCTGTATATCATACTGCACGTATGTATGGTATCAGCGCAGTCAAGGAGCAGCAGAAGATGCATGTGCTTGCATCTCCAAGGACTGTGGCGGCAATGTGGGGGTCTCCTGGCTGGTGGAGCTAGTATATTCTTACCAGGCCTGAACTCCCACTTGCCCTTAGCATAATTGGAATTCAAGCTAATTCGTAGAGGTCTGACTATATCCCATATCCCATCCATTTTTTGTTGGGGGTCCTCTGAAGCTTTCTCATGAAAATCTTCACCAAGGGCAGTTCGAAGAGCTTCCCAATCAGTTGGTGGCTGGGAAAGCACCTGCACCGTATTCAGTCTTGGGCAAATCATATATGGAAAATGTAAAAAAATATGGAATAAAAAAAGGCTCTCCGAAGAACCGTTGCCCCACCTGTTCACCCAAATCAACAGCATCCACGTAGGGGTCAGATGCACAAGGTACCACTGGTGAACCCGGGGAAGTTGGGCCACCAAAATCATCATCATAAACACCAAACCACGCTGCCATCATGGTATCCTGCAAGGCAGCACAACTTGGTCTTAATAGAATATATGATTAATATGCTAAAGTCATGTCGTCACATCCCAACACTCCCCTATAGTCCTTGAAAGTGTCTTCTTCATTAAGAGACTTCTGGGGCTCACCCTCCTCACCGGCCCCATCACCCATCTCAAGATTCGTTTCCGCCGAGATCTCGGGGGACCCAGGACCAGACAATGGCCGATATTCAATCGAAGCCTTGGACGCCAGGAAGGATAGTGGGGGAAGTTGTTTTGTGGGGCCAAACAAAGAGGGGCTCATGAAAACACATTTTCCCTTGCATGCGTGGGCTATATATTCATTACATTATATTTTTTCAAAGGGGCTGGTACTGTATCTTCATCGGGTCCCGCTTGCAAAGCCATCGAGCGAACAGGAGTTGCAATTCCACGCTGTCTCTTAAGCTCCTGGCATGGCAATGGGATTTGCTATATAACTATAGGATGTATTTCAAAGTGCTACTATTTATATAAATACATACCATGTTAAAAATACCCATCCATTTTACCCAGAACCATCTCCTCAAGTTTCAGAAGCTCTTGCTCGAGAGCAGCGTCGGGAGAAGTTAAGGCATCCATCCCAACCTCCTTTTTTACAATCTCGATTCCCTCCACCACTGTATTCGTTGAGTAGACTCGAGACAACAGTTCACACGGCATCAGGCCAAAACACTGCGGGATTCACTTGGGTCATGAATTTTCATGATTTCCTAATTTCAACAACAAAACAACAAACTCTAAAAAGTGGTAAATCACACAGGGCCCAGAATCCCAGACCGGAAATTTCCGCCCCTTACCCGCCGATTTCCGCCCCTTACCCGCCGATTTCCGCCCCTGGTTTTTTTGATTCTTTGAAAAAGAGAGTTATTTATATGAATAACTCATTTTTTGTATGCATAACTCATTGTTGATATATGTATATGAATAACTTAATTTTTGTATGCATAACTTTTTTGTATGAATAACTCATTTTTTGTATGAATCACTCATTTTTTGTATGAATAACTTTCTTTTTTGTATGAATAACTATTTTTTTGTATGAATAACTCATTTTTTGTAATATATATAATATTTTTGTACAACTAACTTTTTTGTATATAATGATAGCTTTTTTTTGTATATGAATAACTCCTTTTTTTGTATGAATAACTTCTTTGTATGAATAACACTCATGTTTTGTAAATATATAATACATGAATAATTCATTTTTGTTGAATGAATAACTCATTTTTGTATGGTTTTTGTATATGTGAATAGTTCAATTTTGTATATTTATATTTTTAACTTTTTTGTATGAATAACTCATTTTGTTTGTTTTTGTTTGTATGAATAACTCATTTTTTATATGAATAACTTCCTTTTTTGTATGAATAATTTTTTTTGGTATGAATAACTCATTTTTGTAATATATATATATAACATTTTTGTACAACTAACTTTTTTGTATATAATGATAACTATATTTTTTTTGTATATGAATAACTCCTTTTTTTGTATGAATAACTTCTTTGTATGAATAAATCTGTTTTTTTAAGTATATATATGAATAACTCATTTTTTGTATATATAATATATGAATAATTCATTTTTGTTGTATGTATAACTATTTTTTTTGTATGAATAACTTCCTTTTTTGTATGAATAACTTTTTTGTATGAATAACTCATTTTTTTGTAACAATTATATAACATCTTTGTACAACTAACTTTTTTGTATATCATGATAACTAAAAACTTTTTTTGTATATGAATAACTCTTTTTTTTCATGAATAATTTCTTTGTATGAATAAATCCTTTTTTTGTATATATGAATAACTCATTTTTTGTATATTTATAATATATGAATAACTCATTTTTTGTATATTTATAATTTATGAATAACTCATTTTTGTTATGAATAACTCATTTTTGTATGGCTTTTATACATATGAATAATTCTTTGTTTTTTTGCATTTATTTTATTTGCATGTATTTCATAAAATGTCACTGCTTGTATTGATAACGCATTTTTGGATGTACCACATGTGAATATCTCATTTTTTGAATATTATAATTCCTTTGTTATATATGAAAAAACGTTTCTTATATGGACACCTCATACCGGTGAATAACTTAGTTTTTGCATATATATATATAGTTGGTTTTCTTGTATGAAATACTAGTATGTGACCAGCTCATTTTTTGCATGAATGACTCATAAGGTTTAACTATTTAAAAAAAAAAAAAAAACCTTTTTTTGTATGAACTCACAACCCAGTTTGTTTTTGTATGAATAACTCATATGAATAGCTAATGCCCTTGTATATGAAGAGCTCATTCCCCTGTATGAATAACTTGATATGACTAGTTCAGTTTCTTAGACTAATTCATATTTAAATTATATACTCATTTCCTTGTATGAATAGTTCATTTTCTTTTATGAATATCTCATATGAATAACTTAGTTTCTTTTATGAAATTAGACGAGCCCCTTGGGCCTGGTAAACCCCGCCTCATCCCGCGGTGCACCCATTTCTGAGCGCCCAGGACTGCACTGTCTTGCTCACGGTTGAAGCTCCACGGTGGCATGTGGGGCCCGGGTGATGAATTACCAATTAAATTTTGAAGTTTGGCCCACACCATTTTTTTGGTGGCAACGGCAATTAAATAGGAATTGTTTTGGGGATCAGTTCGCGCCATTCCCTAGGAATGTTCAGCTTCTTGGACCCCCGCACATACTGCACCACCCTCACTAAGTCAGCCTCTGAATCCCACTGTTTGCATTCCTCACCAAAGTTCATCTTGCCAAAAAGGTCCATGAATGATTCCGGGGATACCTGACAGGAACCCAATGTGGCTATATGATATATGGTAGATTAAAGGCCTTTTTACTATGGTTTGGCGCAATTTCAAAATTTGAAAATACAGGTGGCCCACAATTTGAATGATTGTTTTGGTTGAAACTTGTCAACCAGCCTTTCCAGAAGAAGATTATAGCCTCTATAAAAGGAGGTCTCAAACAATTTAAAACCCAACCTTGATGGGAATTTTGTTCTCCATAGTATCTTGGCGAACCAGGGGCACCATCTGAACGATCTTCGAAGCAAACTTGTACGTGTACTGCCTGCAGCATCGGGCGAACGACCCCTTTTATACAGGGATTGGTTTACCATATATATATTTATATATATAATGACTTGGGACCAGAAAATTCTGGATAAAGCATGTTCATCTTTGAAACCAAATTCAAAATTCAAAACTGTTGAAGACGAACCAAGCTACTGAGAGCGCTTGAGATTGGAATTGCCAACAAATCGCCGCTTTCCAGCTTTGTCAACATAGCGGGTTGTAGTTTGAACACAGCCCTGCTTCTCCCAGCCAAAAAGGGGGCCCATGTCCAATGAACAAATCCTTTTTGTATTGGCCCATACCCAAGTACGTTTGAAGGATAAACTTCCAAACTTCCTCATCCAAAAGGCAACTTTGTAGGTCTTAGTTGGCGCAGATCATGAAAATCAAAATGAAATATCGCTACCTTTCGGGAGGCTCACATCCCATATACAAAGTTACCCCGCTTGCCCTGAAACCCAGCCAAGGATCTGGGATGTTATGCTCCAAAAGACGCTCGACCAACCAAACATAGCGAGGGTGGAGTGCAACTAAGCTGTTCAGGGGGTTCTCTAAGAGATAGGTACCACCCATGGCCACCAGGAGAAGCATGCAAAGAACACTTCTACAGGGTGAATGGGAATCCACATCGAAGAAAAAGAGACATGTATATTTGCAGGCAAAACCGTTCTAATTTTGTGTGAAGTAAAAGCCCAGTAAAGAATTCTTTGTGCCAAATAAGGTGTGTGTTTTCAAACATAATCCAACATGGAACCCTCTCCTGGAAGTAAGCTTATTACTTTTCCGCACCGGCAAGAAGTATTCATTTCCTAGTGGAGTTAGGAAACTCCTCCCAGTGCTAGCCCGGTTAACGGGCACCATACTGCTGCACACCACAGCCAGTACTGCCACTGCAGCCTCAAACTCTGAGTGCAAAAGCAGGTGTATAGCAAGCCTGAGATCAGACAGGAGGGATAGATACGGTGAAAAGTTATACTGTGTATGAACCAAAACAACTTGTATATGCATATCGATCTAATATATATATAATATATACAGCTTTCTATAGAAAGATATATATATATAATATTTGTTTGAATATATACATTTTAAATAGATTTAAGTATATCTACCGGTATCTACCTATAGCTACACTTATATATACATATATATATACACACCTATCTTTACCGATCTATACCCATCACCTAGTGGTAACTACAAAATCCACATTGGTTTCACCCACATAAGTTTAAACCTTCAAATATGATCAAACAATTTGTCTTCCTGGTGCAAACTAGTGGCACAAGCCCAGCATCGGAGTTGATGTCAAGGGGTGAACGTTTGTTGGCAGATTGAAAACGATCTTGACCATATGAAATATCAAGGGCGCAGCTCTTGTATCCATATTTTTTAGACAAGGCTGCAACTCTACCAACGCCCGCGAAGAACTCCAGCACCTGGTAATCTCCATCAGTGTTGGAGAAGGGGATATCTAGCCAGCTCACAAGCAATATCAAGAGCAACACCACCTTAGTTTTGAGCAGTTCCCATCAGCCCCTGTGACCCCATGCCCCCACACCCATGAAGCAACTGGATTGGCACACCTTACACAGCCAAGGCGATTTGCACAAGAAGCTTTTGGAGTACCCAGGGCATATAGGCGCTTGAAGAAGACTTCCCGTTGAGGAGGTGTCATTGCGAGGGCTTGGGATCAACTATCAAGAGCTGTGGTTTCAATATCCCTAGTGAAGGAGTTTCATGTAGTGTTTCTATAGTACATATGCCGATCCAGTGTTTTAACTTGGGCAAGTGAATCCAAAAGTTTGGGGGCTTGTAGATTCAATGCGGGGATGCACCCATGTAATTAGTGAGCATACACTCTACCTTCCAAAGCTCTGCATGTGTACCATGAGTGAGATTGATGCTGCCCTTGTAAGCCCTGACCTGGCTAGTGTACATGAATGCATGCATGTCTATTTCTTTTGCACGAAGTGAGACATGCTTCAAGTATTTCAGTCCATGCGGTTGTGCACACGTGATCACAAACCCACATGAAATTCTAAAACTAGCTGGGGTTACCTGATTGACGTGGACACCCCACAGCTCCATCGGAATCAGAGTCGTCAAACTTCGCTATGTTGATGTAGCCTCTCCGTTCGCTCATAGGCCTGGCACCAGGGTTGAAGCACATAATCCCATATGTAAGGAACCCTTTGGGGATATACCATTGGGAAAAGAAATGGGGTATACATCGAATGGTAAACAGGAAAGCCGAAGCTGGATGAAGTTACGGTAGCTCATTGCAGTCGAGTTGTTCTTGGATGTTTTAAGTTATATTCTTATATTCCCTAGCAGTATGTCACCATTGGGGCATTGTGCAGCCACTTTATATGTTCATTGAGGCCGTAATCAATTTTTTTTGACAGCTTCGCATGTCCCCTGAAGCGGCACTCTTGCTAAATTTGGCTATGTAATTTAAGCGAAATGTGAAATTCACACTTTGCCGGTTCAACTTAGAAAAGGAGGGTCTCAACCCAAAGCTGCAAATGCACGCGTATCTGTACGCATGCACGCGCGAGCAGTACCAAATGCACTCTCCTAGTTTCCCAAAAGCAGGGCTCGCCACTCCAGCGGCACAAACTTGAGGAAGTACAGCAGTTTGCTACAAGACAATTAGTAGATGGTTGATTGCATGGCCCGTGCCAATGCTTCTCGGAACAATTGATTGCATAAAACAAAACGGTCACCAAGAGCCTAAGACCGTTTGGAGGAAGCAAGAGCTGCAGGGAAAACAAATGTAATCTACTCCCCATCACGGGGTCACATCGTCAAGCGTCAGCTCAGGGCAGTCTTCAGGATCCAAAACCAGGTCAAAGGACTCCAGGAAAGGACCAACCAATCCCATCACAGCAATCCTGAAAACCCGGAGACATTCAGCAGGATCTTCGGCGCCCAGGGCGCAAACCTTCTCATCCTTGTCCAAGGCCTGCGTGCACCAATGCCACCAAAGGTCCTGAGCCGTGGGCAGGGGTGGAAAACGAAAGGTGCCAGGACCAAAGCTAGAGTAAAGCACACCTAAGAAATCTTTTAAAGGTAATTGGAAGAAGACAATACTGTTGAACTTGTCGCCTAGCAACTTCAAACTCAGCCATGCGGAATCCGTAGCAGAGGACAAAATGCCGCACAACAAGCTGGAACGCATCCCTGATAGCGATCCAACGGTTCTTGGGAAGCTTGGTCTTGGGACAGTTCCTGCGAGCAAAGCTAACTGCTTCACCTCTCTTCGCCCTAGGTCTCTTCGAGCAAGGCTCTGAAAGCACTGGATCCTCAGCCTCCCTCTCATCCTTCACCTCCTGGCTAGGCGAACAAGGCGAAGATGGGGCCACTGGCTCTGCCTGGCATTTCCTCTTCAGGCGTTTCGCGGGTCCTGCTGGTAGATCAACATCAGCAAACATGTCTTCTGACGGCTCCTGCGGGTCAAAGGTGGTGACACTAGGGTCAGAGGCTGAGCTGAACAAATGGGAAACTTTGTGTTTGAAGAGAGGGCCCCAAACAATTGGAATTTCTTTCTTCTCCTTCTCCACCTCCTCGCTCTCAACGCGGCTTCCTCCTGTCTCAGCCGAAGACTTCACAGCCTTCCCTTTGGATTTTGCCTTTGCCTTGGGTGTTCTTTTTGCTGTGGCATTCACCTTAGCTCTGCCTTTTGGCACCTTGGAACTGTTGATTTCCTCATCAGAATCCAAGACGGATTCCACCCCATCATTCTGGGAAGCCTTTTTCCCTCGTCCCTGGCCTCGTCCGCGACCTCGTCCACGGCCACGGCCACGACGAGCAGGTTTGGGTTTTTGGCTCCATTGCTCTTGTCGAGTTGTCAAGGGTGGTTCTTCGTCCAACTCATCCAAATCGCCCACCACCTTGTCTCCATCATCTCCTGCTGGCATGTCCACCACCATCTCCTTCTCCAAGGCATCCTCAATGTCACTTGAAACTGAAGAAGTCTTCTCAGCTTCAATGGCTGGAGCTGGCACATCTTCCTCCTTTGGAATGTCGGCCTTCACTGGAACGGTCTCTTCAAGGTGAGGTGGGCAATCCAAAACCGAGCTGTCCATAGCTTCAACTGAAGCACTGGGAACTGAAGCATGCTCCTCATCAGTCTTGGTAGGGGTGCCTGGGGCACCATGTCCACCAAGAGCAGATGAAACCGGAATGGGATCTTCTTCACATTGAAGACCACCAACAGGTTCACTGGGAGTTTCAGGGGCAACCTTGCTCACAACACTCTCAGGTGCCACGGGGCCAACTGCCCTGGCCAAGGTGTTTTGGTCTTCCAGCATCTTGTGGTCTCCCAGCATCTTGCGGTCTTCAAGTACTTTCTCAACTTTCCAGTAGGAGTTCTCTTGGCGCATGAGCTCGTCCAGAGAAGGGGAGCCAAGATGTTTTGAAGATCCACCTGTTGATGGAAGCGATGGGAGCCAAAACAATCCAAAACAAAAGCCCGAAAGTATACATAGGTGGGCGCACAGTTTTTACAATTTGATTCCGGAGTTCAAGCATCACACCTGGTGATGGCTCTGTCACCTGTGTGGCCTTAAAGTCCGAAGAAAGGGATCGGCAGCACGGAGTTGGGGACTGAGAGTCTACATGGAAAACGCTGTCCTTGGACAATGCTCTCGCAATCGGTGATGCTTCAAAGGGCAAGGTCTCAGCGTGGTCGGGAGCGGGCTGGGCAATCTTCCGCTCAGCCACCAAACGCCTCAGGTGGCTCTACTATGCTCTACTTGGGCATGCGACGTGGGGTTTACCCAAACACTGATTGAACCCCATGGCAGCATTGGAGAGTTCAAGGGCAAAATGAAAGCTTCAACAGATAAAAAAGAATGCAAACAAAGAAACTTCAATGTTGCAATCCTCATGTTAAGCTCATCGTCAGACAAAGCGGCGTACTTGCCACTGGAGGAACTGACAACTTCAGTCTCCTCATGTGATTCTCCAACAAAGTAAGGGTCATCAAGCACCGCTTGCTCAGGCGTCTCCTCTGGCTCAGCCTTCGCCACCTTGGTGTTCTCCTCCAAGTCCACTGGCTTCTCCACCTTCTTGTTCTTCTCCGCTTCCACTGGCTCCTGCTGAAATTCGACTGGCTTCACCCCCTTCCTGCTCTCCTCCAATTCCACTGGCTCCTGCTTGATCACTTCCATGACCTCACTTAGGTCTTCCTCCTGGTCCTCGTCCAGATCATCAGGGATTTCAATGAAATCTGAAGGGCTCTCAGCAGAATCAGGCTGCTCAGGCTCCATACCAGCTTGCCCCTTGAAACGCCAGTACTTCAACAGAACCGCGTAGAAGTCATCCACGATGGGCACCTATATAGCGGTGCAAAATGATTCAGACAATGGCCGTAATATACCCTTTTCCGGAAAAGAAATCGTCCGAGGAGTTGACAAACGAAATCAGGTTGAAACTAGTCCCAAGTAACCCTGCGAATGGGGCTTTTTCCGTTCTTCCTCTCTTTCTGCAACCCTGACTTCCTGCATCCATACGTGAAAAGCTTCCTTAGCCACCATGCATCTGACGCAACATTACCAGGGGATTGGCAAAGCTGCCTCAAAGCTGAAACCTGGCAGGGCAAAGTGGAAGGAAGAAATGCATATGGTAAAGCTGTGTGAACCGATTGCCTAGTTACGTATTGAAAATTGTATATTTATAAACCAACTCCGCCATGTGCCAGCGTAACATTTTTCATAGAGGTTGGAGGTATAACTCAGTTTAATAAATATATATTTGATAGATTGAATTTATGAAAATAAACTATTTGGGGACTAGTTTGTACCTATCTGGCCTGTTTTTTCAGCACCCTGATGGTTGGAACTTTGGGCTGAGTCTGGGTTGGACACCACCATGTAGCTAGATGCTTGAGGAGGCTAATGTTGGAAGCAATAGCCTGCATCGAACAAGACTTGTTCTTCTCAGGCCACAAAATGAGTTTCCCCCCAGCTTTCTTGCCATCCTCGTCCACCCAGATGCGAAGGCGATCTCTGATCAGAATGTCGTGTTCCCACAGGCGGGCAAGGGAACCGGGTGGTGCAATCTCATCCGATGTAGGCATGGCCACAGAAAAATTGTGGGCAGCTACAAGTGAAAATCACGGTCCCGAAACGAAAAATATGTTTATATCCCAAGGGTGCGGATTGAATTGGGAATATGTTCCTTTGCTATTGAAACTTGCAACATGACTTTTTTTTCAAGCTGGCAAGTGACAGCTCCAGAGCTGTTGCAATGATGATGCCATGAACAAGTTTGTCCTAAACATGGCCGCAGTCACCAGTAAAATCTTTCTCCAAGAATATCCCATCACCAATTCAAGGGGTTGACAACGGGATGAAACCATTGTGGATGGAGGTGGAACCACACAAACCCCACTCCCGCGCACAGGCCTTAAGACCAAAACTCCGCAGCTGCAATCTTGGCGGCACCGCCTGCATGATGCCCGGATGGCCAAGGGTTTTTAGGATCTATCAGGCCAGGTCAGACCTTCTAACTATTTAGCCAGAAATTTTGCAGCGCAAACTTAACTAAGGTTTGAGACGTGTTTTAGGAGCCAGCCTGGGCCACAAAAGGTTCTAGTCCACTCCATAGCACGGGTGGCAATGTGATTTCACTGCAATTGAAAGTTAAATGCACAGACTGTTCAGCATCAATGCCGATTGCATTGGCTTTCAAGGATCTTCAAAAAACGAAAATCTGTCCGGGAATCAAAACATATGTGTATATACCAACTGATATTATAAGTCTGTTGGGGCTGGGGGTGCGCTACTGAATAAAGTTGATGTTTAAATTTTCATGTGAAACCTAATGTTTGAGTTGTTGACTTGTCACCACCTCCAGTCACCCAGTCTGAGTTTCACAGCGGTGATGGCAGCGAGCGAGACTCTCAACCTTGCAGCTAAAACCAATGCCTGAAGCATACAAAGAAGGTGCTCCAATTGAGCAAGGTAACAAAAGTTTGGCAACAACATGATGGGAAATGAATGGGAAACCAATGAGATTTGCAAAAAAACACAAATCAGACCCTGGGAGAAATTTCCGACCCCAATACTTCAGGGTCTATTCTTGAGGTAGGGACTGAAATTTTGCACCCCTTGGAGGATGCAGGTATATATATAGTATATTATATTATATTATAATATAATATAATATGATATAATATAATTTAATATAACAATATATTATAATATCATAAAATTATATTATAATATAATATAACATAACAAAACAAAATATAATATAACAATATATTATAATATTAAAAAATAATATTATTATATAATATAACATAACATAACATAATATAATATAACATAATAATAGTATATATATATGGAGATATTCGATTTGTTGCGTCCTTCAATACGTACATTGATGGACTTAAACAACTGCAAAAACAATACCAAACAAAAATCAGTCCACATCCGCACATCGCAAACGCACGACATCTCCCCAACGCCCCAACCCCCGACCCCCAAACCTAAATGTCTGTACCGCCGTGAGATGTTCTGAAACGTTCAAAACACTGCAAAAAGGACTTGAACCCAAGCATACCCATATAATCTGTCTAGATTTATATATATATATATACATATAGAGAGAGAGAGAGCACATATATACATACATAATCATACAGTATCCTATATATCGCCATCTGCATGCATGTGAAAAGCAACTTTGAATTCTTCACTCACGAACTGCAGGATTCAGCCATGACCCGGTGGCAGGGTCAAAATATCTCAACATCGAAGGTCCAAACCCCGGCCTCCGTCACATTGGCTGCCACGGTCTTTTCAAGGAAGTCCTGGCAGATTGAAAGTAGTTGTGTACCAAATGGCTTGGTGGTAGAAAGAAGCAAGAATTGTACAAGGTCTGAGTCTTACGCTGGGCTTGGAGATTCTTGGCATGTTCTCATATATGTTCCGCGTCCCCAAAATGATGACGACTGTGGGGCAAGGCTTCAAGCGCTCCTTCCATTCCCTTTGTGTCCACTGTACCACCAGTAGCGCACTGTCAGGCCCCTTGACTTTGGCCTTCCAGCTTTGAAATCTGTCATTCTGAGCTCTATAAAAACAAAGTTGGTGCAGATTCTCATCTGCATCATCTGCCAGATATTCTCTATTCGCAATCTCAATCATCAAATAAGTTCTTACTACCTGTCAGTGAACTACCACGAGTACGATATATATATATATCCATATCATATATCATCAGATATATTCACATATCATAGATCACCCGTATCTATGAACTACTGATGAACTGTTAAAACATATAGATCATCTTATAGATCATCTTGTAGATCATCTTATAGATCATCTTATAGATCATCTTATAGATCATCTTATAGATCCATGTAGTAACACGTCATCAGTTCATCGCATCACCATTCACCAGCCTTGTCGTCATCCTCGTCTTTGTCACCAAGACGACGAGGAGTCAACTCCTACAGGGCTCGCAGCAGCTTCCAGCCACATTTAACAACCAAAGGGACATTTAGCAACCCCTTTAAGAAACCATGAGAAAACACCAAAAAATTCAACCGTGTATTGATAGATATTAGATGACAGGCACCATTTTTGGTCGTCAGTCCACAAACAAAACGGGGGAGTTACCCCCCACCCAATTTCCAATGGGATGTTTACCATCCCCAAGAACTCACCCTTTTGATGGGTGGAAAAAAACATCATCCCCAATGGTGGGATGGTGGTATAAACATGGGTGTTATTTTTATAGGCTATAATCAAGAACCATCTAATTTTACCCAAAATATGTATTCTGAAAAAAAATTGCTTTACTAACATTCCTGTAATCTATTTCCAAAACCGATGGAGAAGATGCGACACTGCTACCGGTTCACCACGGTTCATCCCCGTAGCATATCCACTGGTTAATCATCATGAAACCCACACCCGATGCATCCGGGTAAATTATCATGTTTCACAAAGCTGTTTTTTTTGCCATTAACCATCATTCCAGTGATGTCGCGGTGAGGTCGTTACAATCTATCCAGATGCATGGGACATGTCAATGACATGTTTCTCCATAGTTCTCCCATAGCATCTCCTTGAGACTTCGCAATGGTGCATCGCCAGAGACATCTCCTGGTGAGTCCCAACGAACTGACAAAGGAGTAGCGGAATCTAAAATGGTGATTTACCCTCTGGTAAACTAACGTAGCTATTGAAAATTGCATTTATAGTGGATTTACCCATTAAAAATGGTGATTTTCCATAGTTTTTTGTATGTTTACCAGAGGGTACTCAACTCGATCTTTTGGGGGGTAAAAGATGGTAAAAGGAAATCCAATTCCACATAATTCCACCAATTCCCCTAGTCCGCTAGGTCTTTTAATGGCGGCCACTGAGCTCGCGGGAGCCCTCCACAGTCACCCAGCGATCTTCCATAGAAAACTCGGGCATTTTGCCGCATTGCTCCACGAGATCTAATGAACTGCGCGAATGTCGAATTTCTTTGGGAGGAAAAAGGATGAAATCCATGGAAATCCATCTATGCCCCTAAAAAACTGGATCTGTTCGATGGATGTGTCTTTTCCCCAAGAAATTTGCCAATCCCACGATGCTGGAAGTGTGAAGCTGATCTTGGCAAAGGGACCATGGTGCTAGTGGACTTCGCAACGGACTCCTAAATCATGAGGTAGTATACCGCGGAATACCAAATGCTGTACATGATGTGACTATACAAATAGAACAGAAGGTTGAAACCATTCGACTATATTCGACTTATAAATGTCTGGATATTTTTGTTTACAGAAGATGAACCTGTAACCCCAGTTCCAAACCATGCCCATGCTTGTGAAACCCTATGGTAGAGATCAGAATCCTTACATAACAAATGGTTGATACTGGGTCAACCACCATGGCTATTTCTGGTTGGAACTGGGGTTCCAAAATCTTTCGCACCGGTGGAAGGAGCAATTCCAGCCCATCTTGTCATCACAGGTAAGTAGATATTGTCTGGATATACATTCGCGTAGTCATATGAAATCATGGGAGAGAGGGAGAGAGAGAGTTATATTCAATGTTATTCAGTTATTCCAGTTTTCATGATATACATGTCAATAGATCATAGCAGTTCATGAATGTGCATGATATTGGGTTCTTAAAACCCATCCAAGGCAACGCTATGCCTCTCAACTATCCTGCCCTGTTACAGAAGACTCATGGGGCTGCCTGTCAGAGCAATGTCAGAGCAAGGAACAGCTTGGTGCTGGTCTGAAAATGATGCTTTTGCATGCTTCTGTCCCCAAAATGGTAATTTTGAGAGGGAAATGGATGATTCAAAGATGAATACCCGTCTTTAGACAACCCCAAAATATGCCTTGCTTCAGAACACCTGTTCGAAAAAAGTGTTGCAAGATATAGGCGGTCAAGACAGGGATGGTGAGAGAAGCATCGTCAAAGATGAGAAACACACCGACAGGAGTCAGCAAAAAAATGCGAAAACAAAGAGATGGCTTGGACAGCCACAATTGCCCATGATGATAAACCCATGGATATCATTTACATCTACACTATACACAATTGTACACCTATGCAGGCATTCACAAAGAAAATCAACCAGAAAACCCCCTGCGGGACGCCATGGACCTACCTGTAGAAAACGCCACGGCCTACGAGGAGGCCCCCCACCGCCCCAACGGTGCTCCCCACTGAGGCTCCTGAGAGGTCTGGGGTCTGGTCCGGCTCAATGGGGTAAGGTGGCCATGGCCCATCAGGCCCATGGTGGCCCATGGTGGGCCATGGTGGCCATCATCTCAAAGATATTTGGACTAACAGGTGCAATTTGATAAGGGACGACAGATAGGGGATATCACCTACTCGACCTGATATGACGGTGTGGCTTCAATTCGACTCCCTGGCTCTCCCCAAAAAGGCACCAAAAACAGAATTGACTCAGCAGTCCTACACAAAGCCCCGCGCCCGCACCCACCGCAGCACCCAGAGGTACTGAAAGCCTTGGCCCAAGCTGCCAAAGATGGCATGGAATCATGACAGAAAGACTGGTGTAGGAAAGACCAACCCTTTCCACCAACTTTGTTTGGGCCCTATTCCACTTGTCAGAAATCAAGACCCCTCGGCCAATTGTTTGACGTTACTGGAGAATTGCTCCAGGGAATAGAAATGGCTCTGGTATGCTCTCACCAAAGTCTTATTTCGCTCTAGATGCTCTAGTGAACCTTGATGAACCTTGCACATGCTGAAGTCAACCAATGTCTCCATAACTGGCTGCATTTAGTGTGTGAGTGCAGCTTCTGCTTCAACTCTTTCCAGAGTTATAGCTTTGAAAGTCAAAGATTATGTAGTTTCTGTTGGCAAAGGACATGAGACAATAGTGATTCCACTCCAAGAACACACTGAAACTTCTGCTGCATATGAAAAAAAGTATACAGATAGCAATAGTTAATATGAGACACATACTACACACGGAAGTTACGGATACTGCACTGGGCGAGGCCGACCCTACCTTGTTTTCTATTCCCTGACCTCGTTTATGACTATTGTGCACAAAAATCCAAGTTGTTCAGTTGTTGATACCCAAACCCGCATGAAATCCCAATTGGGCCCCAATCAAGCCAAATTTACCCACCAGAAATCTCGCAGAATTACAATAATTCACCAGAAATCTGGTTGAATCTGGTTATTCTTCTTGAATTCTCAGCATCTGAGTCTCCCTGCCCAGCAGTGAAAGGTGCTGGAGCCAACCCCACCAACGCACCAATGGATCCCCCACAAACCAGACCGCCGGTGCCACCCGCGATTCCCATGGTCAGATAGCCACCTGAGCAGCAGAATCAATGGAAACCATGGGCCTGCCAGGCCAGGGCCTGCTAATCCGTAACAAATGGGACTGGGTAAACTCAATAAACCCATGGTAAACGATCATGAATATTTCTGGTTCTTTGGGGTTGGCTGCAGCCTGACCAGAGAGGTCACTCCGCCTTCACCACCAAAAACTGTGGAATGGGGAATCTCAGGACTGTGAAATGTGAACAGTTGAGTCATGAAAAATACCCCTATTTCATCTCATTAGATGGTTTATTTCGGTCTCCCAATCCTGTGGATTATCATAATCCCGATAAAAGAGCTAGTTGTGTATCCCCCAATATAAATAACCAACAAACAAGATGAAGCCCACGAACCCGAATGCTCACACGTATGTTAATGGTACAGATGTCAAAACACATGGCTATGCAGTCACGCACAATACCTTTCTGGAATAGTTTATTTGAACAGTCTTGTACATGTTTCCCTTGTTACCAGTCTGCAGTGTGGAGTGGAAAGTGTAGAGTGTGGAGTGTGGGGTGTGAAGTAAGGAGTGTGGAGTGTAAAGTGTGGAGTGGGGAGTGTAGAGTGTGTAACGTGTAGAATGCGGAGTGTAAAGTGTAGAGTGTGGAGTATGGAGTGTAAAGTGTAGAGTGTGGAGTGTAGAGTGTGGAGTGTGGAGTGTAGAGCGTAGAGTGTGGAGTGAGGAGTGTAAAGTGTGGAGTGTGGAGTGTAAAGTGAGGAGTGTAAAGTGTGGAGTGTGGAGTGTGGAGTGTAAAGTGAGGAGTGTAAAGTGTGGAGTGAGGAGTGTGGAGTTTGTAAATTGTAGAGTGTGAAGTGTAGAGTGTAAAGTGTAGAGTGTAAAGTGTAGAGTGTGGGGTGTAAAGTGTGGAGTGTAAATGTGGAGTGTGGAGTGTAAAGTGTGGAGTCTAAAGTGTGGAATGAGGAGTGTAAAGTCTGGAGTGTAGAGTGTGGAGTGTGGAGTGTAAAGTGTAGAGTGTGGAGTGTAAAGTGTGGAGTGTAAAGTGTGGAGTGAGGAGTGTAAAGTGGAAAGCGTGGAGTGTAAAGTGTGGAGTGTAGAGTGTATAGTGTAGAGTGTAAAGCGTAGAGCGTGGAGTGTAAAGTGTGGAGTGTAAAGTGTAGAGTGTGGAGTGTAAAGTGTGGAGTGTAAAGTGTGGAGTGAGGAGTGTAAAGTGTGGAGTGTGGAGTGTAAAGTGTGGAGTGTGGAGTGGAAAGTGTGGAGTGTGAAGTGTGGAGTGTAAAGTGTGGAGTGTGGAGTGGGGAGTGTAAAGTGTGGAGTGTGGAGTGAGGAGTGTAAAGTGCGGAGTGTGGAGTGTAAAGTGTGGAGTTTAAAGTGTGGAGTGTGGAGCGTAAAGTGTAGACTGTGGAGTCTGGAGTGGAAAGTGTAGAGTGTGGAGTGAGGAGTGTAAAGTATAAAGTGTGGAGTGTGGAGTGCACAGTAAAGTGTGGAGTGTGGAGTGCGGAGTGTGGAGTGGAAAGTGTAGAGTGTGGAGTGTGGAGTGTAAAGTGGGGAGTGAGGAGTGTAAAGTGTAAAGTGTGGAGTGTAAAGTGTAGAGTGTGGAGTGTAAAGTGTGGAGTGTAGTGTGGAGTGAGGAGTGTAAAGTGGAAAGCGTTGAGTGTAAAGTGTAAAGTGTGGAGTGTAGAGTGTTTAGTGTAGAGTGTAAAGTGTAGAGTGTGGAGTGTAAAGTGTGGAGTGTAAAGTCTAGAATGTGGAGTGTGGAGTGTAAAGTGTGGAGTGTAAAGTGTGGAGTGAGGAGTGTAAAGTGTGGAGTGTAAAGTGTGGAGTGTGGAGTGGCAAGTGTGGAGTGTGGAGTGTAAAGTGTGGAGTGTGGAGTGAGGAGTGTAAAGTGAGGAGTGTGGAGTGACGAGTGTAAAGTGTGGAGTGTAAAGTGTGGAGTGTGGAGTGAGGAGTGTAAAGTGTGGAGTGTGGAGTGTAAAGTGTGGAGTGTAAAGTGTGGAGTGTGGAGCGTAAAGTGTAGACTGTGGAGTCTGGAGTGGAAAGTGTAGAGTGTGGAGTGAGGAGTGTAAAGTATAAAGTGTGGAGTGTGGAGTGCACAGTAAAGTGTGGAGTGTGGAGTGCGGAGTGTGGAGTGGAAAGTGTAGAGTGTGGAGTGTGGAGTGTAAAGTGGGGAGTGTGGAGTGTAGAGTGTGGGGTGAGGAGTGTAAAGTGTAAAGTGTGGAGTGTAAAGTGTAGAGTGTGGAGTGCGGAGCTTCCCCCATAGACACGGCGACGCCACAGGAAAACCAGCGACTCGAGACAAGACACGTGGATGCAGAAAAACCAGCATTTCCTGCGAGGTTTCCTCCAATTTTGATATTTTCGACAGGTTATCAAACAGGTTGGAATGTCACAAAGTGCCACACCTGCCACGCAAAACGATATGACAACCTGCTTGGACACATTCGAATAGGAGATATTTTCCAGCTTCCCCCATAGACACGGCGACGCCACAGGAAAACCAGCGACTCGAGACAAGACACGTGGATGCAGAAAAACCAGCATTTCGTACGAGACTTCCTCCAATTTTGACATTTTTGACACATTATCAAACAGGTTGGAATGTCACAAAGTGCCACGCCTGCCACGCAAAACGACATGACAACCTGCTTGGACACATTCGAATAGGAGAGGTTTTCCAGCTTCCCCCATAGACACGGCGACGCCACAGGAACACCAGGGACTCGAGACAAGACACGTGGATGCAGAAAAACCAGCATTTCGTACGAGACTTCCTCCAATTTTCATAGTTGGCAACATGACAAAAGGACAAGTTTTGCAGCTTCCCCCATAGACACGGCGAGGCCACGGGCAAACCAGAGACGCGAGACGAGACACGTGGGAGCACCAAAACGAGCATTTCGTGCGAGACTTCCTCCAATTTTCACACTTTGTAGCTTCAAAATCGACGTTTTCCTACGAGTTTTCCTTAGAACGTGAAAATTGGCAACCTCAAAATCGATGTTTCGTGCGAGGCTTCCGTCAATTTTCAGCACATCGCACAAAATGCCACGCCTGCCACGGAATTTGCACCTTGTCGCCACTTGACGCAGCCCTGCCAATGCGATTTGCAAAAAACACGCAACACGACACGTCTAAAGTGCTGCGCCTGCCACGAAAAATGACGATGGACACGTCCAAAGTGCTGCGCCTGCCACGAAAACTGCAACACATCTTCTGAAAACGTCGCAAAAGTATTGCGCCTGCCACGCAAAACGACTTTCGACACGTTCCAGAACACGTCTAAATGTCACGAAGTGCCACGCCTGCCACGCGAAACGAAGCAACGACACGTCTGAAACCTCCAAAAATTACCACCTCTGCAGAACTTCCCATAGGCACGGCCATACGGTCCTCGCGCGGACGGTTGCGGACGGTTGCGGACGGTTGCGGACGGTTGCGAACGGTTGCGACCGTGAACGCAACGTCGAGCGAACACACCCTCAACCCCCAGACCCCCAGAGTGAAACGGGAACCCTTGCTACGCATTCGGGAAAAAGAGTGTCACTTTAATGGCTCAGTTGTCATCAAGGCTTGTCGATGTAACAACCAGAAACCGGCGGTGCCTACCGTCACGGCAGCTGTTTGTTGTGCCCGCGGATCTGAAGCTACCTAGCCGACAACAGATTGCCCGCGGACCATGGATAAGCTTGAAAACCAAAGCATTACCACAGATACATCTACAGTAACTCCCCCAAAAAAAAATAGAGTTTAGTAAATCATCACTATTAATCACCATTTTGACATTTTACTGTTCGATGTTCGGGGATTGCCGAATCCCCACTCTGTCAGATAAAAATCATCGTTTCAGCTCCAACTTCCCAAGTCTTCCCCCATCTGATGGCTTCATAGCCATGCTTAAACCAGTCATATCATTCATATCCCCGTGTGCATTCTGCAGAGAAGTTGTGCCCACTAAACCGTTTACAAACACAGCCTTATACTACAAAATGATGCTTGAATCTGAACCAACCCCCCTTGCTACAAAATGGTTTGGGGGTTTTTATGATGGATCAAAAGCCAATGTCGGTCTCTACAAAATGACTTTACGTAACCATTTTGTAGTGAAAACGGGTTGCCATGAAAAATCATGATTCGCTACTAAATGGGTCATAGCATTTACTAGGGGAAATGCTACTGGGGCCCGGGTCATAGTATTTGCCGAGCACAAGTAAATACAACCTTGGGATTTCCATCGGATTCCAAGAATTGACCTTTCAAAAAAGGTTTGACAAAAGCACGGCGCAGGGGTTTTGAACTGCAATCGTCAGAGCTATGGGGCAGCAAAAACGATCTAAGCGCACAATTTCAAATTCAATTGATCGGTTTTGACCCAAATCTGTCTCATTTTTCCTCCTTAAAGTCTCTATATAAAAAGCATGTTTTTCGATCTTTTCGGGGCTTATCTGGAGGGGGGCGCAGTAGGTTCTACAAAAGGTTGTGCACGCGTGTGTCACTACAAAATGCAGTGCGTGACACAAGTCATCCAGAAACTAGGACATCACGTAAGAATCTGTGCTTTGTGACATTGTGGGTGAAAGGAACTCTGAGCATGGATTCGTTGAACTGGGGTGAAACTTGACTATTGGACAAAAAGAGCAGGAACCTAGTAGAATGGGACAGATTTAGATTTTAATTAATAATCGCATGTGATGGCCAAAAAAGGTGTGACAAAAGCACGGCGCAGAGGTTTTGAACTGCAATCGTCAGAGCTATGGGGCAGCAAAAACGATCTCAGCGCACAATTTCAAATTCAATTGATCGGTTTTGACCCAAATCTGTCTCATTTTTCCTCCTTAAAGTCTCTACATAAAAAGCATGCTTTTCGAACTTTTTGTGGCTTATCTGGAGGGGGGCGCAGTAGGTTCTACAAAAGTTGTGCACGCGTGTGTCACTACAAAATGCAGTGCATGACACAAGTCATCCAGAAACTAGGACATCACGCATCGAATCGGTGCTTTGTGACATTGTGGGTGGAAGGAACTCTGAGCATGGATTCGTTGAACTGGGGTGAAACTTGACTATTGGACAAAAAGAGCAGGAACCTAGTAGAATGGGACAAATTTAGATTTTAATCGCATGTGATGGCCAAAAAAGGTGTGACAAAAGCACGGCGCAGAGGTTTTGAACTGCAATCGTCAGAGCTATGGGGCAGCAAAATTGATCTGAGCGCACAACTTCAAATTCAATTGATGGGTTTTGAAACCAAGTCTGTCCCTTTTTTTTCGTCTTAAAGTCGTGTTTTTTTTTCGATTTTTTGGGGCCTCATCTTACCACGAAATAATCGTGAGGCAAGAGCCAAAAATGGTCTGAGGGTCCAAGCTATATGTTCATGTGACCGAGCATGACTGGTAAAAGAGGGCTATAGGGCTTCCGGTACGACACAACGCATCCCAAAATAAATCACTACAAAATGCGTTTCCGATTTATGAGTGTAAAATGGAACGCCGCTACAAGATACAGTGCACACCCTTTTACTACAAAAACTGGTGCACGGGTCCATTTTTTTTGCTTGAATTATCCACGAATCAGAGGATGGTACCAAGCACGTGTTCACCCTTTTAGTAGTGGAAATGGTAAGGGGGATTCATTCATAGTATGACCATAGTGAGAAGCTCTGAACAATCAATCCCCGTGCAGATCAACGCCCCTTTTCCCGGGCCTCGACCACAGACTTCCACCATCGTGATTGCGATTCACATCCCTCAAACACACAGTTCACCAAGCACCAGGACATGTCTTCCATGTTTTGCCACGAATCGCTGGAATCACAATGAGTTTCTCAATCCTGGTCTGATCTCGTGCTTGCAAAGGCCATCGAAGTGTCACGAAATCCTTGCTTCAAAAATCTTCAAAGTGTCATGGCAACGTAGCTCAAACGTTGCCCTGTTGACACAAAGCTCAAACCGAAGTCCACCGCGGTTGTAATCCTTCTGTAATTCCCCATTATGGCAGCTGTGGTTTCCCCTGGTGATGCTGTGGGACTGGCCTGGTCTGACTGGTCTTCCGGAAATTCGTCAAGGTCGCCAACATCCAGAAAGTCTGCCTTGTCCTGGCAGAACAAACCCTGCCATCGTCTCTAACGTCAGGATGACAGATATTCGGATGGAAATTGGGATAACAAATCTGAATCTTTCCTGGATTTCATGAATCCCACAATGACTGGGAGATTTGAAGCTACAAAATCCCATGGTCCATGAACTAATAACCCCCTGGCCTAGTAAGCCGCCTGAGGGGAGCCGTTGTGGCTACCTTTTTAATATCTCTGTGCCTGTTGTGGAGTGAAATTCCCTGTGGTTGGGAAACTCTATTCTTAGCTCCAATTGGCTCTGCATGGCTAATAGGGAATGGATAACTATAGCTTCCAACCCTCAAAACCACGAAGCCAAAACCACCTTTCCAAACTGCGAAGAGCGCCCCGCAGCACCTGAAACTCTGACTGGCAAGTCACGTAGCTCAAGCGGGTACGTCGCCTCACTGCAGTGTCTTTTTGTGGCTCTAAGTGTTCAAGGCCTGTTGAAAGTGGGGGGGGTGCACCAAAACTGGAATTTCGTCCGCCGCAGAATTTCTTCATATCACACCAAAATCGCTATGGATGATGGATCTGCGGTGTGTAGTTGCAGTGCTGTCCAAGATCAGCTTGGGGCGGCCTTGAGATCACTGGGTTTCCCCACGTCGCAATTGATGCCACAGATCCCTCCGCAACACCAATTGACAAAAGAGACGACTTGCCCATTTTTGCTCTTCGATCGTCATGAAGACTGCACAAAACGAACCAACCATTCGCGTATCACGTGAATGTTTGGGCATTTGTGACTGGAGGGTGCTACGGAGTCTGTGGAGCATGCTACGAGTCGCCACTTCTCGAGCAAGTTACAGGAAAGGACATTCCGATTCTGATATTCCTCAGTACAGAGATTAGTACAATCCCTGAACTAATCATAACCAACCGTTGTATTTCCATCCCCATGATTTTCTGCAAAAGATGATCAAAGATACAGTTCTACATAGTTCTACTGTTTTTCCTACCCATCCAGTTTTTTTTGGACCAAGGACGTTCTCCATTGCCGATGGCCTCTCCATGACAGAGTTGTGCGAGGTCATGGTCCTGATCCTGCAAGATGTGGCTCTGATTTTTCAGGGGTCAACCCCAAAAAAAAATCTATGTTCAACATGGTGTCTTCAACATCTGTCAACGGGGAAAAATGATTAACATAGACAAAAATCGAAAATGTTGGATGAACTTGGGGGTACCATACTATATTTGCAAATAACCCCACTGTGCGACGGTCAAAACTCAATACATGTGGTCAGGTCAGGGCATCCACAAGGCTCCCAGCACCTTTTTTTCTCAGTGATTATTGAGGTGAGATTGGGGCAGGCCAAGGAGTCTTCCAGTACGTGCATGTGCGAGCTGTAGTGCTTCTGCGTGGGGAAAGGAAGAGAGGAAAGAGAAAAAAATGAAAAAGAAAAGGAAGAAAGGAAAGGGAAACGAGAAAAAGAAGAAGAGAGGAAGGAAAGAAGAAAGAAAGAGGAAGCAAAAGGAAAGAAAAAGTGAAAAAAGAAGGAAAAAAATGGAAAGAAAGTGAAAAGAAAGAGAACAGAAAGAGGACAGTACTCTCATGGAAGGGGACAAACAAGAAGAGGAAAGGAAAGGAGGAAGGGGTTCTGGGCTCATCTGGGCTCGGGGGCGACTTTTTGAGCAAACGGGTATCGCTTAGGGCTTAGGGCATAGGGCATGCTGCTTCCAGCCACCTCTTGATGGGGCCCAGGCTGTGGCAGCGTTGCACCCAAAAACCAACAACAACAACAACAACAGTATCATCATTTTCCCAATTGAAATGGCCAATTTTATTCGCGGCGCATCCACCATGTGTATTCTGGAACAGGATTCTCCCCGAACGGCCCGAACTCATCCAGGCACTGCCTCCTCGAGTTGCGCAAGGTCATCACTTCCACCATTCTGGCCGAGATTCGCAGATGGGGATGGGACCCAACAATTGAGCTGGTTCTTACGGATGCTCATCCCCCCAAAGATGGTCTACTAGAGTCTACTTATCTTGGAAAATGATGGGAAATATGATGGAAAATGGATGTTCGTCCCCTCAAAATATGGGAGTTCACAGGTTTTGATCATCCGCATATGATCACCATGCTCGATGTACGGCCCCTCCCCTTTATCGCGCACCTCAGGGGCTGGTTCCATGGTCAAATCGATGATGCTCCAGCACAAGCATCGATCATTCAACCCCCTTATTTTCGCAGTAAGATCTTTGAAATGGGTGCTTAGTAATTTGTTGAACATCCCTGGAAACACCTTTCAAACAATTTCATGCTCAGTGCGCACATGAAAATACATGAAAATGATGAAAGATCTGTACGGATCTGTTCGGATACTTCAAGGTTCCATACATTTCATCTGCTGCATGGTCTGCAGCTCAAACTTCATCCTTAAAGTATGCATGGTATGCCGCGTGTCCCTTCATACTGGCTGCATCTTTGGCTGTGCAATTCGTGCCATCGCACTCGAGCCGTCAACTGTCATGAGCTGGGGAGCTCTGTGATCCACTGATGGGGCCTTTTCAACTTCAGTATACTTCAGTTACCGCTGCAGTGGTAAACGTCAGAGCGGTTGAGACAATGCTTGTAGCCTCCAACCACTACCGGGGTTCCTGTTACTCAAGTGTTGAGACCCATCAGCCCGGCACAAGGGTCCTATGTGTCTGCTGAACAGGCATCAAACTAGTGCCTGAATCTGTCAAGACGATCCAATAGAGATGATCTTGTCGTTGGCAAAAAATGCTTGAAGCATAATATGCACAATTTCTCCCATAGGACCTCCGACTAAAATCTGAAGCACATGGGAAGATCGCATCATCATCCTACTCTGGAGACCCATGCAGACCCAGAAATCTCCTGCATACTTCCGAACTCCTCTGAGTGAACGGAAAGTGTTATTTCCTGGCACTGCCACAGGGTAACTTTCATCGTGGAGGGACTACAACCCCTTGATCCTCTTGGCGCCATGGTTTTCAACAGCTCTGATTTGAAAGGGAACTCCCTACGTTTACGTTTTCTAGATGCTTCCCCACCTTGATACATGGGGGGGGTTCTGCAATATGAGTGTGGGATAGTGTGGCTGTGACTCATATGAAGCCTTGTGAAACCAGTGTCTTTCCATCTTGGCCCAGCATGGCCTTGCTGAGTCATGGACTCCTAATTCAATCATCGATCAGGAAAGGTCTTCCGGAGTGCATCGTCAACTATTTGTGTTCACCTGACAAACTGCGGAGATCCCTTTTCCTCAGATTTTAGACCCTTTCTTTTTCGGCCCCGGATGTGCTCCCCACCTGCGTTGGCCGCCCGACTTTGGGCGTCGTGGAGCACCAACTGGCCAGAAAACTGATCGCCATAGATCGACATCCAAAAACGACCCAAAAAATGACCTAGAAATGGCTTGAAGTCATCCAAACAAGTATAGCACGTTCCTCTGGTTTGTAGTGAACTATTGAGAGTTGAAGTGACAGAATCACGTCCTAACATGGAGTTACATCATGCTACATCTACTGGCACTACAGATCAAAGAATTTGAGACTACACCGCTAAAGACTACAGCAGCCATGAACCTGTCAATTAAAAAAAAAGTTCCAGCATGTAAAAACCCTCGAGAGCCAAAACAAAAATCAAAAGATTGAAGAAAGGTCTCACCAATTTCGCGAAGACCAAGCTGCAAGTTGGTGAAACTATACACATGTGATACCGTGATACCTTAAGTGATACCAATGTGATGGCATGAAAAAGGCTTGTCACGGCTTGTCCTGTGTGATCGCGCGCAAGGCAACCAGCACGCCTTCCTCTCCGTCTCCGTCTCTGTCTCCGTCTCTGTTGTTTCTGTAAACATCTCGTCCACGCTGGCCAAACTGCGGCACACCGGCGTGGCTCTGTGGTGAATTGGTCAACTCTCGGTTTCGGCCAATTGTCGGATGTACCATGTCCAACATGTCTAAGAGATAACATTGCACAGATGTGTCTTATATGTGTAGAGAGAGAGAGAGAGAGAGATGGAAAATAATGGAAATATATTCTATCGCAATTTGCCCTTCGACATTCAACAAAGATCTACCCACCGTCTTGTTTTACAAAGGTAATGGCCGCATTCAAAATCAATGACTTTTTGGATATATTGCCATCAGAGTTACTGCCTTACAGAATGCGTGTTTCGAATAACATCTCTCGCCAGTGATCGAAAAAACAAAGTAACTGTCGTGTAGCCATGTGTTGTATTGTCTGGGCTGGCTTGTTGGGTGAACCTAGGCCCAAATACTGATTGCGTCACAAATACACTGGGTATCGTAAGAAATTATAGGATTTGCCCCTTCGAATATACTGTATTGAGATGTGCTGCTGCAACATTCACGACATATCGAAATCCCACCCGGCTGATCCACTTGGAACACTGCCCCATCACATTCCGTTCCAGGCTGTGGCGTCTGTGGCAAGGCACCTCTCCAGCAAGAGCTTGGTTCCGTCGGGGTGCGAATAGAGGATGCCATTGGCTGCTAGTTGCCCTTCGACATGTAAGGCCTCAGTGCAGGCAGGGAAGACTGTCGGATTTCAGAAAAATTTGGCGTCGCCCAGGTCAATTGGCCAAGTTCACTTCTAGCATACTTTTAGCCAAGTGATTCTTTCAGATTCTGAACTGGGTTCCAATTTTTGCTGTCTGAGATTGACACCCTCCCTTCCTATGGGTCTTACTTTCCCATCAGCTTTTCCCTTCCCAAGAGATTTTTTCTTCCCAAAGGGGTTCCAATTTGTTTCCCCTTCCCGTTTTGGTGCTTCTCCCTTCAACGGCGTGGGTTTCCCGGACTTCTGCGGGGCGGGTTTTCTCGGAAACAGGGGTCGAGGGATTTGAACGTAGAGAAGGATTGTGAACATCTGAATTTTTAACATCCGGAACGGAGGAGGAAGTGGGGGTAATGAAAAAGCCAAGGGAAATGCGCATAAATGGGGTGAGAAGGTGCCTGAAGAGATGCAAAATGAGCCGGTGAGGAGGCTGCAGATGTTGAAGGAGGTGTAAGAAGCAGCTGAGTGTTTCGACTGTGTACGAGAGATTGGGACTGTGTCGTCCGCATATTCTAAGTGGACATCCTTGCCGGATTCCGCGTTGGGGGTGATATTGTGGAGAATCAATTGAGAATTCTGAGACGTACGTAGAACTTACAGGCAATGGCAAGAAGAGGAGGGACTCCATATTTGCGGAGAGCAGCGGATACTGTAGGCGGTCATGACCAATGGAGTCAAATGCTTGTGACCAGTCTAGGAAGCGGATATAAAGGGAGGTGGAGTGAGAAAATACCGATTTTTAAAGGCAAAAACCTGAGAAGGGAAAATACCGAACTCTGGAACCCAACTGATTATCTACTTGCACATAAAAAAAGATGCTAGACTTCAAAAGATGGTGAACCTGCAGATTGAAAGCTTGGCTGGAAGCTGACTTACCTTAAAATGCGCCCAAATCGATGGGACATCCGCAAAAAACGATGGTAATCACCTAGTCTATCCCAGTGGTTTCTGCAGTTCAAAATCTTTTCTCATCAAACTTAGACTTGCCGAGCTCCAAAGATCAAAAATCCTGGAACCCCAAACAACCAGAAATGATGGTCAACCCTGTTTCGCCCATTTATTATGTAGGGATTCGGAGCCCTTTGGGTTTCACATGGCTATGTTTGGTCGGGTCCGGTCGGCTAGGGCTCCACACGTAGCAGTACTGGAGCACCAGTGATCCAGACTTCTTCATGTCACCCACAGAGAATGCATCCTGCAGCTCTCCACCCTTCAGATAGTTGGGCTGAGAGGACTGGATGATCCTCCCCAATATATTCTGTATATGTCGGGTACAACAGCCCCCGATCATCAACCAACATATCGGGTTGTCACCAACGGTTGCCCCCATGGACCAGAGCAGCCAGGCGCTGTTTATTTGGTGAGAAAACCGCTGCGGCAAACTCTGACTTGTCTGTTCCTAGAGTTGGGTGTGGAGACACAAAACAACGTCCATGGAAAACTCTACTAACATTCTAATACCATCAAGCTCATCATGAAAATCCGTTCATTCCCTCCATGTGACTTTCCCCATATTTGCCACGACTGAACTTCCATTTTTTACTTCGCAACTTCCGCAAGAACTCGCCTTCAGCTGCTGCACCGCTTTGTTGCGCATGTCGCGGACATCCTGATGGGATGGGGGGGACGGGGGGCATATCGCCATATCCCAGCATTGCGGATGTCCCCACGCCTCCAAGCTCGGTAGACCCATATCTGGGAGGTACGGCCTGGTCCATTGCTTTCCCAAAATATTGGGAGCATTCTGAACTAAAGAAACAGACCAAAGGCGAACCCCAAAGGTCTAGAAAACTCATGGCATCTCATGACATTCGGAGGAAAGTGAGGAGTTGGCATAGGACCCTTTTGTGCAAACCCAACAAGTTGCACAAGTTGCACCAATCTTGGCGTCCCAACGCAGGGTCAAAGTTGAAACCCTTCAAGTGCTTTGCAAAGTCGCTGTACACCTCAACCACTAGGGGGCTAGCCAAGGGGTTTCCTGAAGTTCTCTGATCAATGTGATCAATGAATATTCATGATATATTGAGAAGGTAGATCTCTGTAGTCTCCTCATTTTAAATTTCTTCAAACTCGAGCAGTCAGGCATCACATTCTTCGAAAACAAAACACTGGCTGTGCTCCGCACGTCTGGTCGGCCCTTGATCTCTGTGGTGAGATCCATGAACTGAATCTGCGAAGCGGTTGAGTGGTCAGATCTCGCCAGTGAAACTGCCCGTTTCTCGCACACATTGGCAAACTACTGACATGGAGAGGAAAGATTTTGTGCAAAAGATCCAAACAATACTATTGATTAGTTTCTGTATTGTGTCTGTTGTTTTTTTTGCGCTAATGTTTCAGTAGGGGAAAGGCATTCTGTGATATGCAATTGCAATATTTCAGCTACCCTCCGGCAATGTGGCGATGGAAAAATACCCGAACTCAATGGAAGGCTTCGTTCGCTCGGAAAACATCGAACTGGTGAACTTTCCAGCCATGTTTGATGACACCGGAGGCTACTCATATATCATACATGGGTGAAAAACTGACAAATCTATGCCAAAGCAAGGGCTATGAAGTGAGGCCTGCTGGTGGATTATCATAGATTCACCCTACCGATGTCTTTCCAATGACGCCGTCCGTCGCACCATACGCGTCAGCGCCACGAAGTTACTGGCGCTGAAAATGGCCATGCACCTTGCCAGAGAGGCATGGTCATGATCAACCCGCTCCTCCCAGGAGGTCCCACGTGCTCTTGGACTTGCATTGCATATTACTGCATATTTGCATATACCCACATACACATTCAAATACAGGTGCGTGTGTGTGTATATACATAGAAAGTACATGTACCCATATAGACCGACATATATATTTATATATATACATACCATACCATACCATTAAATTACATTAAATTATATTATAAATTACTACACTACATTGCGTTACATTAGAAACATTACATGCATACATTCATGCATACATACATGTTATATATATATAATATATATTTATAAATATACTATATATATATACAGTATAAATATATATAATATAAATATATATATATACAGTATATATATATACAATATATACATATACCTAAAATATACATATATACAGTATAAATATATATATATATGTACAATATATATATATGTACATTATATATATACAATATATGTATACTATATATATATATACTTATGTACAACTTATATATATACACAAGTTTATATATATACACAATTTAAATAGATATACAATTTTAAATATATATATATATACAATTTATATATACAATATGTACATGCCATTTATATATATATATATATCGACGGACTGAAACTTAGAATGATGTGCGGGGTTCCAAACGACGATACCCCGAACTTAGAATGACTGAAAAAAGGCCCCCCCGAGTAGCAACTTAGAATGACTCCGAGTTAGAATGACTGAAAACCAAACAAAACGTGGAAAAACACAGTGTTTTGGGAGATTTCGGACATCTTATGGAAATGCTTTGGATTCCACGGATTAGCCAAATTGGCAGAAATCATCAAAACATGTGGAAAAAATCAGTGTTTTTGAAGGTCCTTGACAACGTATGGACGTGCTTTGAAATCACAAGTTGGCAGAAGTCATCAAAAAAAACCAAAAAAAAACGCAGAAAACTCTGGAAAAACATTGTTTTCCTCCCATGTTGTTCTGTCCCGGTGATATATTTGTTTTTATATCTATATATTTACCTGCAATCACCTGCAGTCATTTTAAGCTCAGACCCTCCCCAACCTATTGACCTACTGTCTGCCTACCTATTTATCTATGTGTGTATATACATATATGCATGTATTGATTTTTAGATTTATATATTTACCTGCAATTACCTGCAGTCATTTTAAGTTCAGACCCTCCCCAACCTATTGACCTACTGTCTGCCTACCTATTTATCTATGTATTTATATATATATATGTATGTATTTATTGATTTTTATATTTATATATTTACCTGCAATCACCTGCAGTCATTCTAAGTTCAGACCCTCCCCAACCTATTGACCTACTGTCTGCCTACCTATTTATCTATATGTATATATATACATATGTATTTATTTTTATATTTATATATTTACCTGCCATCACCTGCAGCCATTTGAAGTTCAGATCCTCCCCAACCTATTGACCTACTGTCTGCCAACCTATTTATCTATGTATATATATATTTTTTATATATTTACATATTTACCTGCAATCACCTGCAGTCATTCTAAGTTCAGGCCCTCCCCAACCTATTGACCTACTGTCTGCCTACCTATTTATCTATGTATATATATATATATGCATGTATGTTTTTTTTATATTTATATATTTACCTGCAATCACCTGCAGTCATTTTAAGTTCGGACCCTCCCCAACCTATTGACCTACTGTCTGCCTACCTATTTATCTATGTTTATAAATATATGTATGTATGTATTTATTTTTATATTTATATATTTACCTGCAATCAACTGCAGTCATTCTAAGTTCAGACCCTCCCCAACCTATTGACCTACTGTCTGCCTACCTATTTATCTATGTATATATATATATGTATGTATTTATTTATATATTTATATATTTACCTGCAATCCCCTGCAGCCATTTTAAGTTCAGACCCTCCCCAACCTATTGACCTACTGTCTGCCTACCTATTTATCTATATGTATGTATATATATATATGTATTTACTAATGTATTTTTATATTTACCTGCAATCACCTGCAGCCATTTTAAGTTCAGACCCTCCCCAACCTATTGACCTACTGCCTGCCTACCTATTTATCTATGTATATATATATATATGTATATGTATGTATGTATTTTTATATTTATATATTTACCTGCAATCACCTGCAGCCATTCAAAGTTCAGACCCTCCCCAACCTATTGACCTACTGTTTGCCTACCTATTTATCTATGTATATATATATATATGTATATGTATATATATATGTCTGTATGTATTTATTTGTATATTTATATATATTCACCTGCAATCACCTGCAGTCATTCTAAGTTCAGACCCTCCCCAACCTATTGACCTACTGTTTGCCTACCTATTTATCTATATGTATGTATTTATATATATATATGTATGTATGTGTGAAGGGGCCAGTGTGTCCCCAAGCACACTGGTAGCTTCCAACTCCAAAACCTGGTAACCCTTGTCCACAAGGATAAAGTCCAAAAGTATCCAAAACAGTCCCAAACTGGATGGAAAAGGTTGATGTTGGCCTCAACAGATGTTTGAATCTCTATCACCTATAAACCGACGTGTCCCCACGATCCAAGCTCCACCAATGGCGCTAGCGGCAGCGTTTTCTCCCGGTTCCTGAAATGTGGCCTTGAGCCACCAAGTAGCGAAGATGGCAGACGTTTCAGTCTGTAGCATCTGAACCCTCGAAAGAACACAATCGAATGGTATTGCAGGAGACACAGACATGTAGACAAGGTTGTTCCTGGAATTCACACTGGTCTCTATTTTAAATTCGATTGTTAACCCATGTTACCCCAAACTTTCTGTTTGCGTTTTGTTTCAAAGTCATACTTTCATCATAGATTCGGAATTTTCCTAATTGTAGCACCGTTCTTAAGAAAGTGGAATCCATTATTTTTGTGAGACTATCTGCCAACATGATTGCAGTAGATACCCATCGGCACAAAGTATGTTCTCTAGACTGCTCTTTGAGCAACATGACTTCAATCGTAGTCCTCCATTCTTGGCAATTGGGTACTGCCGTTTTTGTTATAAGGTCATATAAGGATTTACAATCGGTTATCATGAGTCCTGGGTGTTCACCCTTTAGTGCAATCTCTGGACGAGACCATGCAAAGGATGGGTCTTTTATGTAACCCCACATACTACGGATCCACGTGAGCTTATCCAAAGAACTAGACATGGCATATGCTTCCGCACTGAGTGTCGATCGGACGACACGGCCAATTTGCTTTGAGTGCCAAACAATTGGAGAGAATTCGGTTGTTTCATTTTGTCCTAACTTGGGAGTGCATGCCATGATGAAAAGACCCTGCTGTGCTGTCAGTTGTTTAGCTGACGCAAAACTGGCGTCACCGAAACTTGCAAAACATACATCTTCCACAGGGATCGACCTGACAATTATTGAGGTATCGGCATGGTTTTGTGCCTCTCTCAAAGTCCTGTTCCCTTCTAACAAAGTTTCCACAGTTGCTTTGGTGATCCCCTTCTGCAAACCCGCGACACGTGTTGCTATGTCGGGACGAGTATGGACTGCAGCATACTGGAGGCTCCCGCAGAGGCCTCTTAACTGCTGAACTTCTCGCTCAGTCAGTTGACTGTCTGTTTCTGCACGGCGGGGTTTAGGAACATCTATTGGGGCAATCTGGTGGACGTACTTTGATTGATTTACTTTTATGGAGAAATCAGGCAATTGTTCCACATCCAGTCCAGTGAATTTGAATTTACCATATTCTCGGGTACCAAATGGTAAAGTTTCTTGAAGCTTGGTTATTGCCTTTTCAAAGTTTTCATTCCCTCCCCCAATGCCATCATCCACATGTGTTCCCAAGATACCATCTAATACCTTAGGGTTATGGGGATTACGTAACAAGAAGAGGCAATTATCCAATGGGTGAGCAACAAAACCTACATCTTCGAGGCGTTTGCGGAACTCTTTATAGAATAGCAAAGGGGCATCTACCCTTCCATAGGCATTTCCCTTTAAAAGACACACTTGGTTTGGACTCATTCCCAAGAGGGTCTGCAATTCAACTGGAGCTTCCATGGCCAACTCTCGATCATCGGATCGCCCTCGCAGGAAGGCTGTAGTGATGTCGAAAGCTTGAACAATCCATTGGCGACTTGCGACCGTCTGCAAGAGCAACATCCTAGAATCTCGAGTCAATGTTGGACTGTCGGAACACAAGGATCCAATGTCTGGATCTTGAAACCCCTTTACCACTAAACGGGCTTTGGCCTTTTTACCGTTATGCGATGAAGGGTCATCTTTCCAAGTCAATATCCATCGTGACGACATGATTCGTGTAGGATGTATTCTATCCCTTAAGATGGCTTGTACAGTATTGGTATCCAGCCAGCATTTAAGCTCTTTTTGCTTGGCTAGACGGAACATTTCTTTTTCTTGGGATGTCAAGTCTGAGTATTTCACTTTGTTTCGAGACTTCTTGGCTGCTGCAGTCAGACACGGGAGAAAAGTGTCTGGCTTCTTCAGGTACCTGGTGAATTGTTGCTGAGGCAGCTCAAAAGAAAATGATACGCAGGAAGATTCGATCTTCTCTAGCTCTGGCCAAGGTGTGCTATGATCTTCGATGACAACATCTGAGTCCATGTGATTTTCAAAAATGGAAACATTGTAGACTGGTTCCATATCGGGGTCTGTTTGTGTTGACCCCTGATCAGGATCTTGGTCAGTTTCACATTCGACAGTTTCTTCTGTACTTGGCGCATAGCTTGGTGAATACGACATCTCCTGGTCATCACTCCTTTCGACCTCATTGGGGATTGAGGATACGGGAGATTCCGGTACAGGTGTTGCCTGTGCCTGTGATAGCAACTGTGCATCTGTTAAGATTGTTTGGGAAACTTTTCTTTGTGGTTCTTCCTCTGGTTGACGTGAGTGGTTGGAAATATTATCGGGATTATTGGAATTATCGGG